GGCATGAGCCGCATTGGGGTGTTCTGGAAGCCAAGTGACACTTAGTTCCAAAAGCTGACCTGGAATGTGGCCTGTGACTGGGTCGGAGATCCGGGCTTCGCGGCTTAATGAACCACAGGGGGCTCCACCGAGGGCTCGGTGGCAAACAGGCCCTCAGGGACTCCTGCGCACGGCGAGACTGTCAGGGCACGTTTCAGGAGCTGTCTCAAGGGATGGTCTCCAGGTTGCAACAGCTTTGGCCTCTTAGAGGACGCGATCCACTGACCAGCGTTTACTTCCCACCTTTGCTTTCAACACCAAAGGCCTGAAGAGCCCAGGCCGCAGGCGCTGGGTTTCTGGGCGCAGCTGGAAGTCTTCAGGAATCTTCCTCGGCACCAAGCCTCGGACTGGGGCTGCTTCTCTCTCCTGCTGATCTTCTGGAAAGATGGACAGAAATCTTATTTCTGCCTACAGTAAGTTCCTGGGGGCCAGAGCCCCTTTCGGGGCAGCAGACATCTAGGTCTCTCACTCTAGATTAAGTTAACATTCCTTGATCCTGCCAACATCAGCCTGACTGGTCTCTTGCCTTCTAGAAAGGACTGTACACACAGGTGCCCTCTGACCTTTAAGGACACAGTGTCTGCTGCTCCTGACGTGTCTTTCACGCACGGTTGTGTGTTTCCTCCTCCGTCCTTGCCTTCTTTCAAAGCTTCCTGGGTTTAAATATTGCTACTTAACAGCGTCAGTAATAGCCACATGTAGCTGCTGAGTGCGGAAGTGGGCAAACCAAGATGTACTTTAAGGGCAAAATGCATCCTTGATTTCAAAGACTTTGTACACAGAAAAAAAAAACGATGTACCATCTCAATAATTATTTTATGTTGATTATATGTTCGCATGAGACTATTTTGGCTGTATTAGATTTATTTATTTGACATGGAGTCTCGCTCTGTTGCTCAGGCTGGAGTGCAGTGGCCTGATCTTGGCTCACTGCAACCTCCCCCTCCCGGGTTCAAGCCAACCTCCTGTTTCAGCCTTTGGAGTAGCTTTGGACGTGCGCCACCACGCACGGCTAAGTTCTGTATTTTTAGTAGAGATGGGGTTTCACCCTGTTGGCCAGGATGGTCTCAAACTCCTGACCTTAGATGGTCCACCAGCCTCAGTCTCCCAAAGTGCTGGGATTACAGGCGTGAGCTACTGCACCCAGCCCCCCGCCCCCAAAATAGCCCGGAATTAGCTGGGCATGGTGGTGTGATCCCAGCTACTTGGAGGCTGAGGCGGGAGGATGGCTGGAATCCTGGAAGGTGGAGGCTGCAGTAAGCCGAGGTGCTAAGATGCTGCCACTCCACTAGGGTGACAGAGCAAGACTCAGTCTCAAAAAAAAAAAAAAAAAAAAAAAAAAAAAAAAATTAGCCAGGCATGATGGCCAGCACCTGTGATCCCAATTACTCTCGAGGCTGATGTGGGAAGATTGAGCCCCAGTATTCAAAGCTGCAGTGAGCTGTGCTGGCGTCACTACACTCTAGTCTGGGTGACAGACTCAAAAAAGAAAAAAAAAAAGCAAGGAGTGAGGGGGGATGATTCAGAGGCAAGAGGCAACCTGGGATGGTGATTTTATCAAAAGATTCTCTTTTTTTTTTGAGACAGAGCCTTGCTCCTGTCTTAGCCTCCCAAGTAGCTTGGACTATACAGTAGTCCCACACGCCACACTTGGCTAATTTTTTTTTTTTTTTTTTTTTTTTTTTGAGTTGGAGTCTTGCTCTGTCACATGGGCTGGAGTTCAGTGGCACAGTCTCGGCTCATTCCAAACTTCGTCTCCTGGAGTCCAGTGACTCTCCTGCCTCAGCCTCCCAAGTAGCTGGGACCACAGACGAGCATCATCACATCTGGCTAATTTTTGTATTTTTAGTAGAGACAGGGTTTCACCATGTTGGCCAGGTTGGTCTTCAACTCCTGACCTCGTGATCTGCCTGCCTCAGCCTCCCAAAGTGCTGGGATTACAGGCATGAGCCACCTCACCCAGCTGGCTAATTTTTTTTTTTTTTTTTGACACAGAGTCTTGCCCTGTCACCCAGGCTGGAGTGCAATGGCATGATCTCAGCTCACTGCAACCTCTGCCTCCCGGGTTCAAGCGATTCTTCTGCCTCAGCCTCCCAAGTGGCTGGAATTGCAGCCTCACGCTACCATGCCCAGCTAATTTTTTTGTATCTTTAGTAGAGATGGGGGTTCACCAAGTTGGCCAGGCTGGTCTTGAACTCCTGACCTTATGATCTGCCCTCCTCAGCCTCCCAAAGTGCTGGGATTACAGGTGTGAGCCACCACACCTGGCCCGAGCTGGCTAATTTTTAAAAAGTTTTTCTTTTTGTAGAGACAAGGTCTCAGTATATTGCTCAGGCAGGTCTTGAACTTCTGGGCTCAAGTGATCCTCCCCACTCAGCCTCCTAAAGTGCTAAAATTATAAGTGTGAGCATCATGCCTGGCCAAAGGAACTTCTACTTTTGAAAAATAAGGGTTCCTGGGAATTCCTTGCAAAAGGTGGCCTTCACTGCGAATTTCAAATTTCTTGTTCCACTCCATGTTATTTAGGAATCACTCTACCAGCGTTGCTAGTAACCAGTTCTGAAACCAAAGTAAGTCTTTTTTTTTTTTTTGAGATGGAGTCTCGCTCTGTTGCCCAGGCTGGAGTACAGTAACACGGCTCACCACAACCTCCGCCTCCCAGGTTCAAGTGATCCTCCTGCCTCAGCCTCCCGAGAGCTGGGACTACAGGCACGTGCCACCACGCCCAGCTAATTTTTGTATTTTTATTTTTTTTGAGATGGCGTTTCGCTCGTTACCCAGGCTGGAGTGCAATGGTGCGATCTCGGCTCACTGCAACCTCTGTGTCCTGGGTTCAAGCAATTCTCCTGCCTCAGCCTCCCGAGTAGCTAGGACTATAGGCGTGCGCCACCATGCCCAGCTAATTTTTGTATTTTTAGTAGAGACGAGGTTTCACCATGTTGACCAGGATGGTCTCGATCTCTTGACCTCGTGATCCACCCATCTCGGCCTCCCAAAGTGCTGGGATTATAGGCATGAGCCATCGCGCCTGGCCAATTTTTGTATTTTTAATAGAGACTGGGTTTCACCATATTGGCCAGGATGGTCGCGATCTCCTGACCTCATGATCTGCCCTCCTCTGCCTCCCAAAGTGCTGGGATTAAAGGCGTGAGCCACTGCACCCAGCCCAAAGTCAGTCTTTTCAGATGTTCCATTTGGGCCAGATCTGATTCTCCACTCCAACCCGTGGAGATTTATTTCCTCCTGGCCAGTTGGGGGAAGGTAAGCTGGCATCCCTAGGCAGGCAAGACAGGGGGCAGAGGGCTCAGTGCCTCCCTGGCATCCCCTTGCCTACTCATGCAGGTGACACTTAGGGCTCCAGGGTTTGGTGTGAGCAGGGCTGAGAGCCTTCCCGTGACTCTGCAATGACCTCTTAAATTTTTCTTGAGACGGAGTCTTGCTCTGTCACCCAGGCTGGAGTGCAGTGGTGTGACCTTAGCTCACTGTAACCTCCACCTCTGGGGCTCAAGTGATTCTCTGCTTCAGCCTCCTGAGTAATTGTGACTACATGTGAGTGCCACTACACCCGGCTAATTTTTTTTTTATCTTTAGTAGAGACAGGGTTTCACCATGTTAGCCAGACTGGTCTCAAACTCCCGACGTCAAGTGATCCACCTGCCTTGGCGTCCCAAAGTGTTGGGATTAGAGGCGTGAGCCACCGTGCTTAGCCAGCACTGACCTCTGAAAGTCACAGAGGCTGAGCCTCACCTGTGCCCTCTCTGCCTTCCTGCCGTTCACCTGCCAGAAGCCACCCTTTTCCTGTCTGGAGGGTCAGCTGAAGCACACATCAGACCTGGATAGACTGGGAACTGAGAAAGGGTTAAACATGGGCCTGGAGGAGTTGAGAGGCAGAGGCAATGGATAAAGTTAAAAATAGTGTTATTCGGCCAAGAGCAAGGAAGACAAGGGCACAGTTAGACTTCAGTTCATGACTGATCGGTTTGAGAATGATTCTCGATTTTTCCCCCTGCACACTGAATAGGAAGAGGCTGACCTTCTGCCTCGGGAGAGACCGGAGTTGGATGTTACCCTGTGTCCTGGGGGGACCAGATGCCAGAGTAGGATGGGAACCAGGAATCTAAGCTAAATGTGGCCCTGGGTCCTCCTCTCTTGGCACCTAATCCAAGGTGGCCTTGGGAACCCTACCTGTTTGGGAATGGGGCTATGATCTCAGAGCTTCTAGCTGCCGATTCTCCCCAGGCCCCCACTTGGTGCTGCTATTTCTTTCTCAATTTTTTCTAGCTTTTCATTTGTTTGTTTCCCTGCCCCCACCTCCTCCTCTTTATCTTTTCCCTGAATGAGCAGGACTTCCAGAGCCCGATGGATCCTCCCCCGGCCCCCAGTCTGTGAACACCTCCAGGCCCCTACACTCTGCAGGGGAAGACAGGAATAACCAGCGCGGGCTCCTGGCTCAGACCCGGCCTCCAGCCAGGGGAGGGGCTCCCAGCACTGCCCTTGCTTAGTCCCCTCATGCCCCAGGCTTGGCCAGAAGGCACGGGGATGGAAAAAGAGCAGATTCTCTGCTGCCCAGGAACACGGTGCCCTGGGACCAGACAGGCTAATGGTTTTGTCCAGCGTTTTGGAATCTCTTGGGAGGTGAGGAGAGGCTTCTCTGGCTTCAGCCATAAAAGGAAAGCTCGGTCTCCTAACTTTTGGGAACATGCTTTCCTACTCACCTCACCTCCTGCTTTGCTGGAGCCAGAGGAGGGGCACTGCTGTCTTTGTTGGAAAAGCTAAGGAATCGGGAGGGCCAGGCCTCCACCCTGTTTCCTCATGTGAATGGGAAGCAACACCCCTTCCTCCCAGCTCTTGGAGCTGGTGGCGCTCCCTTCCCCGTTCCAGTATCCCACTTGTCGTGCTCCCTCCAGAGCCAGAGAGGACAAGTCACAGCATGGCCATTCAGACAGGAGAGAGACGCAAGGTTAGTGTGAGCTCCCTGGAAGCCCCAAGACGTGATCTTTAATTGATGCTCCTGTCCCTGCCTCCCCACCCCCCGCCCCAGGTGACGTATGTACAGGATGCTGTGTGAAGGCCCAGGCAGAGGCAGCCTCCACTCCTCCCTGGCCTCCGCCAGGGCAGGCACTCGCTAGGGCGGGGCAGGGAGATGCAGACAACTGGGAGCCAGGGTGACTGGTCACAGGAAGTCTCATGTTCCCCACCCCTATGTACACGTGCACACACAGATATGCCCATGTGTGCAGAGGTATTCACACTTGTGCAGAGGTGTGGATCCAGATGCTGTGCCCAGATGCACTGTGCCTGTGCACGGGTGCACCACCCAAGGACGGATGCCTTCAGGTAGCACAGCAACAGTGCAACACCCAGCCCTTCCCTGCCCCACCTCAGCTTGCAGGGCTGGTGGAGCAGAGCTGCCCACGGGGCGCCTCCACTCAGCCCTTGAGTGGGCAGTGCCAGCTGGAGTGCTGTATGCGGACCCCACTACTGTGGGGTGCATGCAGCCACCCAAATGGGGTCAGTGGGTCCCAGGCCTGTTTGCCCCTGAGGGTGGTGTGAATTAACAGGGAACGATTCCCTCCACAACTCCTCCTCAAAGGTGCCCCAGAAACAGAGGGGTTCAAACAAACAGCTCATGGGCCTGGGGGTTTCAGAGCTCCCTGCCAGGGTGCCCCTGGTGACAGGAACCGCATTCACTTGTGGCTTTCATCCATCAGGTAGCTGGCCCCCATCTGGCCCCTGCCAGCTATCTTTTAAGGTCAAAGAGCCAGAGTTCCTTCCTCTGAAGCCAGGGTCATGAGGGAAAGCCGCCGGTGGACCGTGTGAAGACTGAGGAGCTCCACCTGGCTGGCAGGCTCGGCTGCAGCAGGGAGGGACGGGGCATGTACTGGGGGAATCGTCTGTAAACTTACTACTCGGCCCTGGAACTGGGGAGGGAGTGGAATGGACTTGGTGGGGCCGCCTAGGAATGTCTGTGAGACCTCCCTTTTCTACCTCCTCCTGCTTATCCCAGGCAGAGCCCCTAACCCTGCAGGCACGGGGCTACCTAGGCCTCACCTCCAGAGAGTCCTCTCCGAAAAGATGGCCCAGGCGGGGGCATCTAGGCCACACCAGGGGGCACCTAAACCCTGAGTTGGCCCCAGAATCACCCTTCTTGAAAGGGGGAAGGTGCCATTTTATTTCAGGGACTATATTTTCTAGATTCCCCTCCCCCCAAATCCCTGCATCCTGACAGGGACAGGATGGTTGTTTTGGAATTGAAGACGATCTGGGACATGTGGTCGCCGTACCCATGACCTAGGCCTTGGGTACGGCACAGGCAGCTTTGGTTTGAATCAGCACACATACTTCCTCCAAGCTCAGTGGGGCTGGCTGGGGGCAAGCTGGGATGCCCGGCCCCTGCCTGTGCTCAGTGACAGGACTCCAGGTGTGGTCATCCCAGGGGAGGGTCTGGGGGACAGCCACACCTCAGTTCCTCCAGGCCCTCCTGTCAGTGTCAAAACATCCCCACAACTGCCCTGACTCCAGCACCCCCGAGTTTACATTCATCTATTAAGATTCAGTTTAAAAATATGTAGATGTCAGCCCCTTCCCCCTAGGTCCCAGAGAGGTAAGACCCTGGTCTCAGCTGCCTGGTTGCAAGGAGGGGCCATCCAGGCCAGGTCCACTGGTGGCTGCCTGGGGGCATCCCTCCAGGCCCCCGAGTTGAGCTGCGGCAATCCGTGAAATGGAAGCTACATTCACACGGGGGGGGAGTGGTGTGCAAGGCTGAGCCGCAGGATGTGGGTGGGGGACTGTGGAGGAAGCGCCCTCCAGGCCTGGTCCACCCTGATGGTGCCAAGAGCAGGGCCACAGCCCCCGCCCAAACCCCTGTGGAGCCAGGAGTTGAAGGGTTTGGACCTGGAAGACATTTGCATGGTGCCTCCCTCCGTGGCTGGATGGGGGCGGCCTCGTGGTTCAGGGCCAAGACGATGGGTGCCAGGCTTGGAGGGAGGGGGGGTGGCACCTAGGCCCCTCCGGACCTGGAACGGAGAGGGGGCATCAGGGGAGGACGTGAGCAGGGGCCACGGGGTAGAGCCCCCCCAGCAGGGCCCTGGAGCTCAGCACTGGGACCTGGAGGCAGGCGGCAAGTCACAGGCTGGCCAGGGAGGGGATCTGCAGGTCAGACAGTGGTTGACATGGAAGACAAAACAGATGGGACGCACAGGGAGGCCCCTCCCGGGGATGGGGACTGCCAGAGGCACAGCTCCAGGTCTAGGGTCCACCTGGTGGCGGGGGAGGGTCTGGCCGCAGCCAGGCACACGAGAAGGACGCGAGTGGCGGGCGAGGGTGAGGGCAGGCCGGGACCTTCTTCCCCGAGCGAGGTTCTCCCACCCTTGCCGGGACAGCTTGGCAGCAGGAGTGGGGGAATCAGCCCCCACTCCCCATCCACAGAACGCGGGGTGACGAATGAGATGGAGGAGACAAGGACAGCGGGAGGAATGACGTGGCCGGCATCACACTGCCCCCTGCTGGGTCGGGTCGTACCTTCCTCGGCGGATGTTTCTGTAGGGAGAGGATGGTGGAGGGGGAGGAGGAGACATCTGACCTTCCGCTCCTCTCAGGAAGGGGCCTTCGGCTGCCATGCAACCCTTGCCCCAGAGGCCCCAGAGAGAGGCCAGGGTTCCTGGGGCCTGGACTCTCATGTAAGAGCCAGGGAGAATTACCCAGGACACCCACCAAAAATGCATCCCAGCTTCTAGTTCTGATGCTGCCACTAACTCAATGATATAACCTTGGGCCTTGGGTTCCTCCTCTGCATATTAAGGGGATTAGACCAGCACAAGGACCCCAGACTTAGAAACGCACAAGGCATCGTAGGCTTGCTGCGGATGGGGGACTGGAGGGGACAAGTCTGGCTTGAGTGGCCCCTGCCCAGCTCCACTCTGCAGCTATGTGGGGATGCCTGGAGGCAAGATGGGGCGCCTTGTCATGTTTCCAGAGAAGCCGGAAATCCAGATTGCTAATGTAAAATCTCCAGGATTCATTCGTTTGTTCTTTTTTTTTTTTTTTTTGAGATGGAGTCTCACTCTGTCACCCAGGCTGGAGTGCAGTGGTGTGATCTTGGCTCACTACAACCTCCACCTCCTCGGTTCCAGAGATTCTCTTGTCTCAGCCTCCCAAGTAGCTGGGATGATAGTTGTTCACAACCACACCTGGCTAATTTTTGTATTTTTAATAGAGATGGGGTTTCACCATGTTGGCCAGGCTGGTCTTGAACTCCTGACCTCAGGTGATCCGCCCACCTTGGACTCCTAAAGTGCTGGGACTACAGGTGTGAGCCACTACATCCAGCCTAAAATTTCCTGGTTTCTTTCTTTCTTTCTTTCTTTTGAGACAGAGTCTCACTCTGTCGCCAGGCGCCAGTCTGGAGTGCAGTGGCACGATCTCGGCTCACTGCAACCTCCACCTTCCGGATTCAAGCAATTCTCCTGCCTCAGCCTCCCGAGTAGCTGGGACTACAGGTGCACTCCACCACACCCAGCTAATTTTTGTATTTTTAGTAGAGAGGGGGTTTCACCATACTGGCCAGGATGGTCTCGATTTCTTGACCTCATGATCCATCTGACTTGGCCTCCCAAAATGCTGGGATTATAGGCGTGAGCCACCGAGCCCAGCCCAAATTTCCTGGTTTCTAAATGTTAAGCCATGCAGGCTGCTTGGACCTATGATATGTGAGCTCTGGTTTAGCTAAGCTCTCAGGGAGGACCCTCAGCTTTACCAGTCAGGGATTCTGACCCCGCTCAAGGGCACCAGGGGGCACAGGCACAGGGTGTGTGTGTCTCTTACTTAAATCCCCAGCCTGTGCCGCCCAGGACGATGGCTGCAACCAGGACAGCCCCGGCGATGGAGCCAATGATGATGTTGGTGCCGCTGGGACCTGGGGAGGAGGGCAGGGCTCAGTCGGCAGGGACAGGCACAGAGAGCAGGACAGACAGCCCCACCTCGGCCAGCTCCAGCCTCACCTTTGTATCTCTCCGTCTCCCCCGTGGGTGGGGACGTGGGCAGGGGGTTGTGGATACTGCAGTCTTTGCCTGTCCAGTCTGGCTGACAAATGCACTTGCCTTCATTGCTGCAGACCTAGAGGTGGGGCAGGGCCAGGAGAGGTGAGCAGGGGCCTGGCCCCTCCTATAAGCCTCTCCCGCCATCCCGCCATCCCGGCCTCCAGGCAGTCACCCCATGGTGGGAGCAAATCCGGCGCTCCCCACTGCCGGGGCAGGTGCTGAAGTTGAAGGTGGAGGCTGGCAGGCAGCGATGGTCCAGGCATAGCATGTTGGGTCCGCAGGCCGTGCCGTCCTCCACGTAGCTCAGGTCGGAGCCATCTGCCAGCTGCACGTGGCCTCCCCTAAGGATGCGACACGGCCAGCCTCAGCCCCCTGTCTCCTAACCCCCAGAACAGCTGCAACCTCCCCTCCCTAGCCTCGGTCCTAGCCAAGCACCTGCAGTCCAGCTCCTTGCCCTGGTGGTAGAAGGTGACACTACTGATGTCCCCCACCAGGTCCCCTAGCCGAGGAGCTCCGGAGATGTTGACACAGAGGAGGAAGCCACACAGCACGTCCCTGTTGGGGTACATGGAGACAGTGAGCCCCAAGTTTGACCTCAGACTCAACTACCAAACTCTGATCTGCCCTCAGCCTGCACCCTGCCACCTGATTTGCCACGTGCCCGCCCACTGGGACTGACAGGCTCCTCCTAGGAGAACCTGCTGCCCCATCTCTGGAAAGTCTCCCACCTGCCCCGGAGCTGGGAAGCCCTCTGGGAGCCTCAGTACTCACTGCTTACTGCACTGCACCCAGCCCGATCCCTTTCGCCCACAGCTCCCACGCTCTGTCCCCTCCACGTTCAGCTTCTCGTAGCAGAAGCGATCAGCAGCCGCTGTGGGGAGAGGATGCCAAGCGTCACCCCCGCACACCCCAGGATCTCAGGCCTGCATCTCGCACACTTTGGCCTTACCCTCAGGCTGCCTGCCTGGGTCCCTCAGATCCTGGCGAGCTACACACTTAGGGGCCTGCTCAGCTGGAACCACCGTCCCCAGTCTCTGAGCTCCGGGTCCTCCAGAGTCCCCGCTCCCAGCCCTAGCCAGACTCACCATGGCCCCAAAGGGCCTGGCACTGCCGGTCCCGGGTTTTACAGCGACCTCCATAGCAGCGGCCCTGAGGGACCACAAATTAAGAGGAAACAAGGGATGAAGATGCTGAGTGGTTAGAGTGAGACAAGAGACTGCCCCAAACCCCAGGTTAGGGGGAGCAGCCATCAGCCATCATACCTGCTCATGGTCACAGTAGTAACCGTCCAGCTTGTGCAGGTTAGGGGGGCACTGTGGAGAGAGGGGTGAAGCTGAGCAGAACAGCCCCAGGACTGGAGCTGAGTCAGCCTGCCCCAGGGAGGAATGCTTGGTGCCAAGTGCCCGCCCCCCCCAACCATGCGGAGGCTCAGGCTACAGGGCTCTTCCACGCCTAGGACAAGGGGTCTGTCTGGCTCTGGACCCAGACCACAAGGATTTGCAAGCCCCAGAGCCGCTCCAGCCTCCCTCCCTTGTAGGGCTGGGAGAATGAAAAGCCTGACATGTAATTAGGTTTTAATAGATGTTAACTAATATTATCATCCACTCTAATCTCTAACCTACACCAGGCACCAGGCCAGGCGCTGGGAATACCAGCCAGACGATAAATTTTGGTTTAATGACGGAAGGAACAAAGCCAGGAGGCATGAAGAACCCCTTCCTCTGATAAGAAACCTGAGTCTGATCAGTGGGGGTCGACGCCAGCTGTGGAGAGGAGGGGAGTGGAGAGCGCACACCGGGAAAACCAAATCCGCAAGGGTAGGGGTTGCCTCGCCCAGGGCTCCACAGGACGGCGGGGCTGGGCAGACCTGGCTCGAGTCCCCAGTGCAGGTCTCCGCGATGTCGCACTCGTTCACGGCCTCTCTGCAGGACACACCCCGTGGCTCGTACTAGGGAAGAGACGCAGTCCCCAGGTCAGGCAGGATGGATGCCTCAGCCCGGGCCCCACATCCCCGGGCCTTCTAGCTCTACGGGCCCCCGTTTCAGGCCTGTTCTTATTTCCCTGCTCCCATCACCTCTGGGCCGCTTCCCACCTCGCTCCCAGCCTACTCTGCACCGCCCCCAAGCCCGCCCACATTCCCGCCCCTCTCTGCTTCTGGGCAGCCTTCCCTTCCTGCTCCTCGTAGCCCCGCCTCCAACATAATTCAGCCCCGCCCTTGCTGCCCATTGGTGCTGTTTTCGCATCAAGCCCCGCCCAAGAGGGATCCGCCCCCGAAGGCCCCACCTCCCTCTGCCCGCCCCTTATCTGAAGGCCTCCAATCGCTCCTCCTGCGTCCTGGCCCCACTCCCGGCCAGTCCTCCTTACCTTGCAGCGGCGACAGCAGAGCCCGTCGCTGCACATGGCATCATGAGTCAGGGTGCATTTCTTGCAGCAGTTGCCACCCGCGCGGCTGCACTCCTGAGGGACGCGGGAGAAGGGGAGGGAGGCGGGCGAGCCCTAATCCTCCCCACTCGGACGCTCCCTGGTGCCCACCCACACATCCCGGCCCCCCTCCTGGCGCCTAGACTACCGCTTACCTGCACCGAGCCGCAGTCGCACTCCTCCCCTGCCTCCACGAAGCCGTTCCCGCACTCTGGGGGGTCCAGGAGCTGGACCGGGAGGACAGGTCGGGAGTCTGGCCCGGACCCCGCCCAGGCCCCACTCCCATGCTCCCCGCCGCAGAGCTGGTACCTTGAGGGGCTTGTTGAAGAGGCAGCTCCCACCACCCTCCTGCAGAAACTGGTTGTACTCGTCGATGCTGCAGCGCGAGAACTTTCGGGGCAGGTAGAACCTGGGCAGGGCGAGGGGAGGTGCCGCTGGCTGCTCCCCTCCAACCCACCCTCTCACCTTCTCAAGACTGGAGAGGAGGCACCCTGAGGAACTCAGTCACCATCGCGAGGAGGCGGAGGATCTGCCCCGCGATTGCACCCGTCCCCTCCGCGGAACCTGGGGACTCCCGGCGCTCTGGAGGGAAGGTGCCTCCACGCGAGGCTGGGGCGGCACCCAGTGGCCGCGGTGCGCACTGCAGCCTGGCCGGCTTTGGTGTCCCAGCAGGGGAATCTGGGTCTCCCCGGCAGTGTTTGCGGGAAAACTGGGTTTCTTGGATCCTGAGTGGTTCTGTGAGCTGGGCCTCTTAAGCCCTCTGGTCTAGACTGCCAAGGAGTGCTCGCTGTAGGACGACCCTCGCCCAAGACCTTCCCCCGGTTTGTCCCAGAGAACTCACCCAGTGTCCTCCATGATGCAGCCCAGCCAGATGTCGGGACACTTGCAGTCCCCTGAGGGGTGAGCCAGGCGGAGATGAGATTAGGGAGGCCACTTACACCCTCCGCATCCCAGAGCTGCTGGGCGAGGGCCACACGGGGGCCTCCGGGGGCGGATACCTGCTGAGCTCCGGTGTTTGTTCCACATCATGCCCAGGTTCTGCCCCAGCGTCTGGGCCAGGGTCACGGCCATCGCCCCCATGTTGCCGTACTGGGAGTGGGGAAGATGGGGCACAGATGTCTCCATCTTCCCACAGGCACGTCGTGCCCTTGCGGCCCCTCTCCCGCAGCCATGGCCCTCACTGCTCACCTCGTTCACACCCCCACCCCGGGACAGGGAGCAGATGCCCCCCACGTAGGCTGCCCCGCTGCTGGTGCTCTGGAAGGTCCTGCCCCTGGAAGGGAGAGTGCTGTCAGGATGGCCTCCTGCCCTCCCCTGTGGCTTCCTGGGTGCTGGTGGGGCCTTGGGGATCCCCTGACACAAGAGCCCTTCCTCGGGAGGTGGCCCTTGCCCTTCACACCAGCCTTGGTGACCCCAGGCAAGACCCTTCCCCTCCTTTGGTTCCTGTTTTTTTTTTTTTTGAGACAGTTTCACTCTTGTAGTCCAGGCTGGAGTGCAGTGGCACCATCTCGGCTCACAGCAACCTCCACCTCCTGGGTTCAAGCAGTTCTCCTGCCTCAGCCTCCCAAGTAGCTGACTGCAGGTGCCCACCACCACACCAGCTAATTTTTGTATTTTTAGTAGACATAGGGTTTCACCATGTTGGCCAGGCTGGTCTTAAACTCCTGACATCAAACGATCCACCCACCCTGGCCTCCCAAAATGCTGGGATTACAGGCATGGGCCACCACGCCTGGCCTCTCCTTGGGTTCTTTTGCCCATAAGGCAAAGGAGAGGCTCCCAGTAGACCATTTCTAGTTGCAAGGCCCTTTTATTCTATTTTTTTCCCCTACCAGGGCACTGGGTCCCTAAGGAAGGGATGCTGGGACGGTCTGAAAGGGGAAAGATGGAAGTAAGGGGACGTGAGGAAGAGGGCCACCAGGGCTAAGACAAGGGCATCAGCCTCAGGTTCAGGGAAAGATGCCCAGCCTGTTGCCCATGGCTGGGGGGAGGTGACAAGGTGCAAGGTGAGCTCAGTCCCCAGACTCTGGGAAGAGCACCTGGCACAGGGCAGGTGTTAAGTAACCCTAAGCACTGTAGCAACTAGCAGAGGCTGGCAGGAAGTGCAGGGTGGGGGACTCACGAGAAGAGGTGGGTGGCATCGCTGGGCTCAGGTAGGCCTTCCCGTCGGTAGACCATGAGCCGGGCCAGGGTCTCCAGGAGGTCATCCTGCACCTGGATCTTGTCCCCATCTGCCCATGTTTCCATGGCAACCAGGACAATGCGAGTGTTGAGCTGCTCCTTGTATATCTGGGCCCGGAGGGGAGAAGATGAGAGGGCTGGAGGGTGGGAGCCAGTGTTCGGACCAGGGCTGGAGGTGCACCTGTCTGTCTCTCCAGGAGGTGGGAGCCAGAGGCTGACAGTGCCCCCTGATGTGTGTGGTGGGGTGGGAGGCCTGAGAGGGAGGGAAGGGAGGGAGGGAGAGCTGCTTACCACATCGGCCAGGTTCACCACGGACTTGGCAAAGTTGCTGGTGAGGACCACCGACTGTCGCATCTGCTCGAACTGGGAGACAGAGGAGAGGGAGGAGGGCCAGGCTTCTTGGGGGCTTCCTCCCAGTGCCACCCGCCTTCCCCGGCCCCGGGAACTCACCAGCTGGTGGTCATTGATCACAATTAGCTCCACGTACTTGGTCTCACTGTGCACTGTAGGGTGGCCCCGGCGGACCTGGGGGGCGGGTGGGCACTTGGTATCAGTCCCTTCCGTGTCTAACTGATCTCATGGCCAAGCCAGGAACAGACGCGGTGGGGATGGGGGGTCTGGACTCCAGCCAGGGACAGTGCCAGCTCCCCCTGGCAGAGGGTCCTGTCCCTCCTCAGCTTTGGAATGAGGGCAGGCAGCCTTGATTTGCCCAGGATGGAGCTCTGTAGATGCCAGCATTAGGGAAGGGGTGGGGGCTTCTCCCAGCCACAGTCCCTGGCCCCCGGCCACATCCAAGCCCTCCTTTGCCCCAGCCATGGATGGGGGTGCCCTCCTGCACTGGGCCACGGCCCGAGGTCTCTGCAGCCCGAGGTCTGTGCGGGCCCCCGTACCTGCCTTTTCCTTCTCAGCCTCGGATGCTTTGGAGGAGCCGACTGGGCAGGCACAGCGAACAGGCAGCCTGTGGGGAGGGGCGGTGAGGGGGGCACAGCCAGCCCCTGCCCACCCCTCTTCCCTCCCTTACCTGGTTCCCTGCATCTCAGGGGATCTGGGAGGAGAGGGGTCCGGTAGATGAGGTGGGGAAGGGGTCCCTGCAATGAGGGGAAATTAGTTCTTGGGGTGCCAGCTGGGTCTTCTCCAGGCCCACTTGAGGGGGCCAGATCCAGCCCTCCCCCCATCCCATCCTGAGGTGACCCAGAACTGGCCAGAGCTCCCATGTCGGATCTGATCTCCCAGATGCTCAGATTCCGGGGTCAAGCCCTTGGGGGCACTCTGAGAGACAGGGCAAAGGACATTGGAGCCCAATGGGAGGTCACTTACGGGACAGAGGGGACATTGGAGCTGGGGGCACAGGGGGAGCTGGGAACACAGGAGGGAGGGAACCAGAGCTGGGGTCACTGAAGAGGGCAGTGAGGCTGGGGAGGAGCAGGAGGAGGAAGAGGTGGCAGCAATAGCTGTTGGGACAGGCTTGGCAGGGCCACCAGAGAGGGCGGCGAGGGGCCTACCTGGGGGGCGCCCCAAGGTCCAGCCACCTCTTGGGGCTCCACGATGTAAGTCACGTTCCCATCAGAGAAGACCCCACTGTGGAGAGAGAGGCACAGCTCCCCACTGTTCCCGGGCGCAGGCCGGAGGCTTCTCCCAGCTGCCCGGCCCCTCCCCATACTCACTGCAGCCCCTGGCAGGTAGAGAGGGCGGCGAAGGAGTGCGCGTTCCCCCGGAGCTTCCCTTGGTAGTAGCAGTGGTCTCCAGCCCCCTGGAGGAGCAGAACTCTGGCATGGGGCAGTGGGTGGCCGACGGGCCTCGAGGCTTTTTGGGGGGCACTGAAGCTGCCCTGTGTTCAGGTGACACAATCTCCGGGTACGCCTGGGGCTCTGGAGCCTGTTTCTACATGGGTGGTGCTCCTAATTTGCTGTGCCACCCCGGGCAAGTTCCTACCCCTCTCTGGGCCTCCTTCACATCATGTATAAAATAAGGAAGCTGGACTACAGCAATGGTTCTTTTTGTTTTTTTTTGAGGCAGGGTCTCGCTCTGTCACCCAGGCTGGAGTGCAGTGGCACAATCTCGGCTCACTGCAACCTCCACTTCCCAGGTTCAAGCTATTGTCATGTATTTTTAGAAGAGACAGGGTTTCACCATTTTGGCCAGGCTGGTCTCAAACTCCTAGCCTCAGGTGGTCTGCCTGCCTCGGCCTCCCAAAGTGCTGGGATTATAGGCGCCCGGCCTACAGCAAGGGTTCTTAGTCATTTGCTGGGGCTGGAGAAGGGATCAGACTCCTCTGAGAATGACAGGCAATGTTCACTTAGCACCTACCCTGTGCCCAGCACTGCTCTGTGCACTAACCATGTATTATCTCATTTAATCATGTACTCGTCCCAACATCACACACAACCTCATGCACTGCATGACCCTGGGCCCATGGTCGGCTGAGGAGTGATGGGCAGCCTGTGTCCTCCTGGCCAGCCTCATGGGTTGGGGCGGGGTGAGGGGCAATGACCAACGGCACCCTCCCCCTTCAGCTCTGCCTTCTACAGAATTACTTGTGCTCCAGTTACTGAACAGACGGCGGGGGAGGGGGGGTGGCGGGTTTGGGGGGGAAGGTGGAGGGGTCGGGGGGGGGGAGACAGGCTATTTATAGACACTCATTCATTTTCAGGCTCTAGGGCCTGCAGGGTTGGTACCCTGGTGTCCCAGGCAGCTGGGATTTCCCAGGGCCTTGGTACTGAAGGGCCTTTCCTCAGCTGCCCCCGTCAGAAGAATCTGGAGAGGGGATTCCTGGCAGCCGGTGCAGAACAATGAGGGTCCCTGTAGGCCCCACGCAAGGCAGGTGGACTGGCTGGGAGTCAGAGCTCTGGGGCCAAGTGAGGGGAGCTCAGGGCCCCACGCACTCAAGCTGCCCACCATCCACCCTCAGAGCCCCCTAGGTGGGGAGAGAGGGAAGGTGCTGAGGGGCCAGGCCAGGACCCCATCTCCAGCAGTCACCTGTCCCTACACCTGTGACCTCAGAACCACAGAAACAGCACCTCCCTTCCACCCCAGCCCAGGCCCCTGCAGAGGCACTCACGGTGCTGTGCTGGGTTGTCCCCTCCCGGCTGAAGTGACGCTCCACATATTGTGAGGAGAGGAGGTGGCTGAGACAGAGGGGGCAGCAGGAAGGGGGGTCACGGGCGAGGTGAGGTCGGGCTTGGGGCCCACCCCAGCTCAGGGTCCCAGTCCTCCCTGCCCTGGCCCAACCCCCAAATCCCCAGCAGCCAAGCCCGGCCACGCCTCCCTGGCCCCAGCACCAGTCTTCCTCCTGGGCTCAAGGCCACACTCACTGGTTCAGCTCCAGGTCCAGGGTGAAGTTTGAGTTGAAGGCTGGGATGACGAAACTCACCTGGGCCAGATGGACAGGCTGGCATGGGGGGAGGGCAAAGGGGAGTCAATCCAAGGAGGCCTGAAGGTGGGAGTCAGGGGGACTCCAGGACAGGCAGGAGTCTTGGGGAGGGGCGGCCAGCCCTAGCAGCTGAGGGCACCATTGATTTGGGGACAAAATGCTTTGTCCCCTTTACTGGTAGGCAGGGGCAGGAGTGCTCTCCCCTTCTGCCTTCTGGGCCCCGGCACCTGCTTACCCTCTCTGAGGCTGGGCTGGAGAGGGGTGCAGCTGGGAGAGGGTCAGCCCAGCCGGCCCCGTGCCTCATCATGCCCTCCTGGCCGGTGAGGGGCACCCCACCCTTGAGTGGAGTAACGGGAGGGCCCCAGGAGTATCACGGGAAAGGGACAAACAGGAAGTGGGAGGAGGGCCCTCGTGGCCTGTCCCCCTACCCTGGCCCCAGCCTCCATCTACATAGGAGGCCTTGGACACAAGCGGATGGGTGGGAATGGATGGTTGGGGCCCCCGAAGCTGGGGTAATGGGCAGGTGCCATGCTGTTGGGAGGAAGGACTTGGCTCCTCTACCCCCAAATCCATTGCCCTCTGCCTCGCCCAGAGCAGCTCATCTTTAATATTTCAATCCCATGGTTAATTTTTAAACATGGAAGTTTTCCTGATAAATTTTTCAGAGTGCAGTGGGGCTGGAGGCTCCAGGTTGCCATGGCAACGTACCAGGCCTGAGCAAGATGGCGGCCCCCCAGGCCTGCACGCAAGGACACCGGGATCCCAGCAACCCTAGGGCCCAGGAAGGGCTGAGAGGATTCAGGGCTGGGGCCTTCTTCCCACCCCTAGTTCATTCCAGAAGACTGACTCCAGACCCCCACAGGAGGATCACCCACTCTGCCTGCAGACAGGAGGCTTGTGTTGGCTGCCTGGCCTTTGTGGTGGGGATGGCAGGTGGCGGAACGAAGAGAGCCCCAAGGTCGTGGCCATGAAATCCACAGCCCGGGCCTTGTTGGTTTCCTCCTCAACCACCTCTCACTGTTAATCTTTACCAAGCAATTCTTGTGTGCCAGGCCCGGGTCTAAACACTACAGGTATCGCCCTGTGTGATCTTCACAGCAGTCCTCTGGCATAGATGCTACTGCCATTCCCATCTGAAAGACGGGGACAGGTACGGGGGCTGACTAACTTGCCGAAGGTCACGCAGCTAAAAAGTGGTGAGCTCGGGAATCCGCTTCCAGGGCTGTCTCAGCCCAAAGGTGGGGTAAAATGGAAGTGGGCCCAGTGGCCTTGAGAGGTCCTGGGAGAGGGGCAAGGCTGGGCCAAGGGCCAGGGCCTGGGTGGGCAGACCTCTGCACCCCAAGGACACCGACTCACCCCATCCCAGGTTGACCAAGGCTCCGGCTCCATCCTGAGCCCCTAGAGCATCGATCAGTCCCGAAATAGAAAGTCAAGGACAAGGAGTCGCCACATCCTCCTCCCGGCCCACGGCCTGAACCATCCGGCCTTCCCCTGCCCTCAGGACTGTTCCTGCTGGTTCTATCTGCCCCCGGCCAACAAACCCCTATGCCAGCCCCCTCCGCAGCTTCCTAGGGGAGCAGCCTGCCAGACCCCTTGCCCTGATGCTGCTCTCTCACCATGCAGCTGAAGGGATGACCCAGCAACCTCTCTGAGCCTCAGATTTTCCAAATGAAAATGGTCAGATGAGCCCAGGTGTAAGGCTGGGAGGTTGGCTGCATGGTGGGGCCATCCTGGGCCTGGAGGATTCCGGCAGAGTCTGCTCTGGCACCAGCAGAATCTCCCCAACTTCTGGGAGATGGGGAGGTCCTCGAGCCACCCCATCTTGCCTGCCTCACCTCTGCAGAGGCCAAGCCAGCCCCGGAACCCTCCTTGTCCACCACCTCCTGCTGCCTGCCGCTCACCCCTTCCCCACCTGGTGCTGTAGAACTTCGAGGGTGGGCTCTCCGCCACCCCAGCAGGACACAGGGCTCAGACCAGATAAGCCCCTGGGGCAGTGCCAGGGCAGCTGGAGTAGGGGCTGGGCCTGGCTGGTCGTGGCCCAGAGGAGGGCTGTGAGAGCCCCCAGAAGGTGGTGGGGGAGAGAGAGAGAGAGAGAGACCACATACCAAGGCATGTTTGCCTGGCCTGGCCCTATGTGGGGACACAACTCTGTCCCCAGTCTGAGGGAAGAGATGGGTCAAATAAGCCTATCTCAGTCCCCAGAATCTCTGTGGCCCTGGGGAGTGGGGAGGGACTCCTGCTGGCACACAGTCCCAAGACCACCCCAAGCCCAGCTTTAGGCCAATGTTGTTTTTTTTCTTTTTTTTTGAGACAGCTTTCACTCTGCAACCCAGGCTGGAGTGCAATGGCGTGATCTCAGCTCACTGCAACCTGTACCTTCCAGGTTTAAGCAATTCTTTGCCTCAGCCTCCCAAGTAGCTGGGATTACAGGCACCTGCCACCACGCCCAGCTGACTTTTGTATTTTTAGTAGAGACAGGGGTTTCACCATGTTGGCCAGGATGGTCTTGAACTCCTGACCACAGGTGATCCATCTGCCTTGGCCTCCCAAAGTGCTGGGGTTATATGCATGAGCCACCATGCTTGGCGAATGTTCTTTTTTTAAAATTAACTAATTAAGTTTTTTAGAGATGGGATCTCACTTTGTTGCCCAGGCTGGCCTTGAGTTCCTGAGCTCAAGCCATCCTCCTGCCTCAGCCTCCCAAAGTGCTAGGATTACAGGCTTGAGCCTCTGCATCCAGCCTAGGCCAATGCTCTATCAAAGGCAAACTGCTCTCTTTGTCTGGCCCTTCTTCCTGCCCCTGCCCTGCCTCTGACCTCATCCCATTGTCCCTCTGTCCCTGGGGGGAGGGGCCTTGGGTCTGGCGGTCAGGCCAGTCCTCAGCCAGCCCCATGCCCTGTGCTTGTCCCTGCCAGGCTCTGACATGCTCCAGCTCATTTGATCCCAACCCGCCCAGGCCCTCTGGTCCTCATTTTACAAATGCCAGGATGAGGCTCAGGGACACACCTGGAGGTGACTGGCCCGGGGTCACGGCTGGGTGGCCAGGGAGGTGCCGGGCCAGACCTCACGCTGGGGCTGGAGATCGTGTTGCCACAGCAGCTGTGGCCACCTGGCAGGGGTGATCACCCTTCCACCCGAGGCTCCCCTCTGGCTGGCCCGCCCACTCTCCCAGACACCTCGTTTGGAGGGACAGAGTCTTGTCCTCTCTGTACCAGATTTGGGGTGCAGAGAGAAGAAGGCAACGATTCTGTCGAAGACCCAGAAGCACAAATACAGGTGCCTGGGCTCTGCCCCAGACCTACAGACTCACAGTCTTAGGAAGCAGGAGACGAAGGAGCCTTGGGATTCACAAATGCTCCAGGAAATCCGAGCAGGGAGACCATTGCTCCCCACCACCTCCAGGCACAGCCCCTCAGGCGCTGACCCTGAACTTCTGCCCCAACCTCCCTCTCCTCTCCACCCTCATCCGCACAGCCTGCACCTGCCAACCCCTGCAGGGCTCTGGCGCCCTTCCCCCTGGGCCTTTAAGCGAGTAGCAGACATATCCTTCTTTGATCACTGATTCAGTTTTCCAGGTGGGCGACCTTTACTCCCCTGGAGCCAGGGCTATGCCTGCCTTTTCCCCTGCCCACCTGCTCCACACTCACATTGAATGGAAAGGCACTGAAAGGCCTGAGATAAGCTGCTTCATGCCCCCGGCCTCAGTATCCCCTTCGGTACAACAGGATTGTTGTGAGGATTCAATAAAAGCCCCTTTAAATGTGTTATCATAAGGGTCAGTAATAATAATAAGAAGGAAGCGTAAATGTCCTCAAATGAACAGGGCTTTGAGGAACTGGATAAACGACCCCTTTGGATCACCTACTGTGACAGGGACAAGACAGAACAGCGGCCTTATGCTCCAGATCTGGGTGGATGGTGTGATCTACCTGTCAGGTGTCTCACCTGAGGACATCTTTCTGGAATACTCTCCCACAAGGAGATACCACCACCTTGTGGGCCGGGTGGCTGCTGATCGGGGAGGAGCCAGAGAGGCAGGAGCCCTGCCTGGGAGTATGTCCCGGCTGGGAGAAACCTCCCACCCACCCACCCACCTGCCAGTTCCCCCTACCCACCCCCGGCCATGCACTGGTGCTCCGTTTATCAAAAGGGCAGCGGGATTCCCAGACAATGAGAACAGCCAGATGAATTTCCAATGATGGGATTTGACCTACATTTTTGAGAACAGAGCCACCTCCTTACGGGGTCATCAGTCCCTCTGGGGACAGACTCTGGACAGCTGGGTTCCTCTAGGCAGCCAAGAGGGTGCTTGGGTGAGGCCAAGCCCACAGGCCAGAGTCCTGCTCTTGTGGTTTCTACCCTGGACCCCACCCTGAGCCTGACAGGTAACCCCTAAATGCCCTGGCTCCTGTTTCTGACACCCAGCCCTCATGCTAGCACCAGGGACCCAGCGCCCTGCCTGGACACTCAGAGATGCTGAAGTTTGGCTCTTTTGCCAGATCCCAGACTGGACACCTGACATTTGGTGTCTCCTTGAGTCCTTGAAACAGCCTGAGAGGTGAAGACTGGGCATCCTCATTTTATGAATGAGGAAGGTGGGATTCAGGGGGCTCCGTGGCTGGCTCAGGTCACACAGTCAGAAGCAGAGGAGCAGGGCCTGCACTAAGACTGTGCCACCCCAGGCCACAGCGTGCAGCCCTTCTTTTCTTTCTTTCTTTTTTTTTTTTTTGAGACAAAGTCTTGCTCTGTCACCCAGGCTGTAGTGCAGTGGCACAATCTCAGCTCATTGCAACCTCTGCCTCCCGGGTTCAAGTGATTTTCCTGTCTCAGCCTCCTGAGTAGCGGGGACTATAGGTGCGCACCACCACGCCCAGATAATTTTTGTATTTGTAGTAGAGACGGGGTTTCACCATGCTGGTCAGGATGGTCTTGATCTCTTGACCTCATGATCTGCCTACCTCGGCCACTGCGCCCACCTGCATGCAGCCTTTCACAACAAAACTGAGCCTGCTGAACTCTGTGGCGTGGCAAGGCTTACTTCATGTCCCCACCTCGTAACAAGCTGGGCCCAGCTCAAATCCTACCCCTGGTGTCGAGCCACCTGCCCCATCCCAAGAGAGAGCTGCAACTTTGGCCACACAGACCATAGTATGGCCTTGGCTCTATGGGATACTAGGGCCAGGCACAGAGCTGGTCCCCCTGTGGCACCCTGCCTGTGACTCCCATCTTCAAGAGCTGGGAGCAAGCCTTCCTCAACTGCCCTCCATCCTTCTGCAGCAAGAAAATGCAAACACTGGCGCATCATATGCCCACTGTGGGGGGATTCTGGGGTGGCGTTTCCAGTAAATGCTGGCCTGGGCAGCCATTGCAAGAGCATAACCCAGAGACTGAGGTGCCCCACCACCAGCTGGCTCAGATGGGCATCTATGTACCAGGTCTGTGACCCCCTCACCCTGACCCTAGTCACCTCCCCCTGTCCTGCTCTCTCCTTGGTTCCCAAGGAGGCTGGGTCTCCACAGGGGCAGGCATAACCCACACAGCAGCTTGCTGCGAATCAGAAAAAGGGGTCCCAAGGCCAGGTGAGGTGGCTCACACCTGTAATTCCAGAATTTTGGGAGGCTGAGGCAGGCGGATCACTTGAGGTCAGGAGTTCGAGATCAGCTTGGCCAACATGGTGAAACCCCATCTCTACTAAAAATACAAAAAGTAGCCAGGCATGGTGGCATGCACCTGTGATTCCAGCTACGCAGGACACTGAGGCGCAAGAATTGCTTGAACCCAGGTGGTGGAGGCTGCAGTGAGCCGGGATTGTGCTGCTGCACTTCAGCCTGGGCAACAGATTAAGACTCTGTCTGGAAAAAAAAAAAAAAAAAAAAAAGAAAGAAAAAGGTCCCCCTGGAAGTCAGAATGCATGTGGCCGCATAAGCCCATGGATTGCATTCAGCTCACTTACCCCTTGCCCAGGCACCCTAGTGCAGTGAACAACAGTCCAATTGTACACGCTAGCCTTGGCTGACCTGCACCACCCCTCAGCTGCAGGCTCTCTGGGAGCACAGGGTTCTGCCCTTCCAGAAACTCCCCCACTTCTCCGAGCCTAGGCTGCTTTTAGGCTGCACAAAGGTGAGGCGGTTGGCCGGGCTTGGTGGCTCACGCCTGTAATCCCAACACTTTGGGAGGCTGAGACAGGCAGATCACGAGTCAGGAGTTTGAGACCAGCCTGGCCAACACAGTGAAACCCTGTGAAAAAATACAAAAATTTGCTGGGTGTGGTGGCAGGCACCTGTAATCCCAGCTACTTGGGAGGCCGAGGCAGGAGAATCGTTTGAAACTAGGAGGTGGAGGTTGCAATGAGCAGAGATCGTGCCATTGCACTCCAGCCTTGGCAAAAGGGCAAGACTTCCGTCTCAAAAAAAAAAAAAAAAAAAAAGAAAGAAAAGAAAGAAATGAGGGGGCTGAACGCAGTGGCAGAGAGGGGGCAAGCATGTGTCTGTCTCTTTCTTCCCTTCAGCCCTGAGCAAGAGGCGGCATTGTCCTGGGTGAGGATGCTCCTTTGGGGATGAGTCTTGACTCTGTGCTCAAATGCTGTGTCTCTTTGGGCAGTTACATTGCCTCTCTGTGCCTGTTTCTCCACCCACGAGACGGGAATAACAGCCCCATCTCCTGGAGCTGTGATGAGGATTAAACAAGTTAATATGCGTAAAGGAGTGCCTGCTCCCAAATAATTGTGATTTGTCTACCTTGTTTTATTTTGTGAGACAGGCTCTCACTCTGTAGCCCAGGAGCAACCACAGCTGACTACAGCCTTGAACTCTTGGACTCAAGCGATCCTGCAGCCTCAGCCTCCCAAGTAGCTGGGACTACAGGTTCGTGCCACCATACTTGGCTAATTTCTTGTTTTTTTTTTTTTTTTTTTGGTAGAGACAGGGGGTCTCACTATGTTGCCTAGGCTAGTCTCAAACTCCTGGCCTCAAGCAATCCCCTGACATTGGCCACTGAGCCACTGCACCCAGCCTAATTTCTCCAGTTTCTAATTCCTTCCTGGCCACTGGACCTCTTCCCCTGTCCCAGACACACCTGCACCCTCACCCCCCATCAAGCCAGGAGTCCTCAGCACATAAAGCCCTTTCCCATCGCCACCTCCTGCCACCAGCCCAAAGCCACAGCAGCTCAGTGCCCCAGGCCCCGCCAGCCAGCATTTGCTCCTGGACTTGCCACATGGCCAGAGATCTTGCTGCTGGCTCAACACCTGCTGGGCCTGAAGTTCCAAACCAGGGCAGTAACTTAGGGCAAAACCCAGGCAGCACCCAGTTGGCGTACTTCTGGCTGGGACAGACACAAGCTCAAGTCCGCACCGGCTCCACCATCACAGCCAGTGGCTCTGAGGCCGAAAGAGCTCTAACCCTGGGGAGAAATGCCAGGGAGGGGATTGAGGATTTTTTCGATATCTCCTTCCGTCCTTTAGGGGAAAATATTCTGGATGTGGTCTTTTTTTTTTTGAAAGGGAGTCTTGCTCTTGTTGCCCAGGCTGCAGTACAGTGTCTCGATCTCGGCTCACCACAACCTCCGCCTTGCGGGTTCAAGCGATTCTCCTGCCTCAGCCTCCTGAGAAGTTGGGATTATAGACATGCACCACCACACCTAGCTAATTTTGTATTTTTAGTAGAGATGGAGTTTCTCCATGTTGGTCAGGCTGGTCTCAAACTCCCCACCTCAGGTCACCCACCTGCCTCTGCCTCCCAAAGTGCTGGGATTATACGCATGAGCCACCGCACCCGGCCTGCATGTGTTTTTTTTTTTTTTTGGGGGTCTCCTTTGGCCTCTTCCATCCTCCTTGCTCTGGGCGGGGTTGGGAGATGGCCTCCTGGACCCAAATCCAGAGAGCCCTGGAGGCAGAACAGAACTGTGGGAAGTGCCCTGGTATGGAGAAAACTCCCAGCTCCACTGCTTAAGATCTGATTGACTTTGGGCAATTTACTTCATCCCTCTGAGCCTCAGTTTGCTCATCTGCAAAATGGGGCTGACAAAAATTACCAGCCTTCCAGAGTCAGAGAAATAAGTGATGTAAAGTGCATACAAAGCTTGGGTGAGTGGACCAGAGAAGTCCACAGCTTTGGTACCTCAGGGGAAACTGAGGCACAGATAAGCCAGCCCTGAACAAGTCCCTTGAGGAGGTTGCCATAAGGACCCTAGGAAGTCTCAGTCCCAGAGAGACCCCAAAATTGGAGATAATCACTGCCCCGAAGATCCACGGAACTCCATTTACTTTCCGCAGCCTCTCAGACACCCCTCAGAAGTATCTGGAATCGGTGGGTCACATACACACCTTACATGTGCCCACTCACCTGCAGAACAACAGAGACCCCAACAGGGTTCTGCACTCACCCTGACCTTCCCACACAGCCGCAGACACCACCGCAGCCCAGAACCTCCCACCTTTGCGGCCTCTGTCTCTGCTCAAAAAGGGTCAGGCTGAAGGAGCGGCCTGCTCAGTTGGAATACCTGACTCCAGGCTTTCCCTCAACTCTGTCCCCTGACCCCGAGGTGGCATCCCTCCATGACTCAATCTGCACATCCCCTAAAGCACAGCCAGAGCCCCAGCAATTGGGCAGGTCATCAGTTCCCCCGCAGTGTAACCACGGGGTGCATAGTTCACAGGTAAGGGAGTGATACCAGGCAAGACAGTCAGACTCAGCAGCCAGGACACCCCATCCCAGCCCTGGGACCATGCACCTCCCAGGGAGCCTGAGCAGGCGCTGAAGGCTGCTTCCACCTCCCAACCCCGAGTGCGCCTGCTGGCCTTGGATCATTAGCCCCCTCCCCTGGCCCTCTGCAGGGCCCTGAGTGATGGTCCATCTATTATGCATGCTCCCTTCCTGCTCCATCCATTTCATCAGTATTCCCCACCCCTGCACCACCCCACATCCCCCTCTGCTCCCCTCCCTTAAGGGCTTTTAACCAAGTACATTAGGCAGGGCCAGATGCCAGTCTGACAGATGTCCGTAATGTTAGCCTCCGTTTCCCTCCTTCCTCCCTCTGCCCAGCCCAATTTACCTCCCACCACTCCCAGCTGCCAAAACTTCCCAGGCCTCAGTTGTCTCCCTCCTCTGGGTCTCTCCCCTGCACCTCCTGTTTGTGCTGGCCCTTCGCCGGCCATCCCGCCCTCTGCTGCCCTGTTGGCCTGGCTCACTTTCAGCTCCAGCTTTTGGAGCGCTGGGGTGTGCTGAATGAATATTCCATCTGGGTGATTATTATTCACATGATATTAATTAATTATTAATTGCAATTAATCTCCTTCATTCCCAACCTTCCTCTGGGAGGCAGGAGGGGCCTGGCAGCTGAAAGGGACAGTGGGAAGGCAGGTAGAGCTGGTTCGGGGCCTCGAGTTATTTTCCAGGGCCCCACTTTCAGCCAGGATAGGAAGGAGAATAGCAAGCCTATTTCAGCACTGCGTGGAAACTGAGGCAGGAGCAAGCACTAAGCTGTTCCAAGAAAGCCCATTGAGGTGGCTGCTGTTAGAACCTGGGAGCCCTAATCCCTGACTGGATCTGGGCTGCCTCTCCCTGCCCCCCACTGCCCCATCCAAGCCCTGTTTTGAGCAGAACCACTAGCTTTGGCCAGAGCAGAGCAGGGGGCCATTGGAAGGCTGACCCAAAGCAGGCCTGAGACCTAGGCATCTGGGATCCCTGAACACTTAGGGCAGGAGACCCTGCAATAGTGGGAGGGGGCCCTGGGACTGGGCAGGCCGGGTGCTCCCCCCAGTGGGCTCCAGCACCCACCTGATAGACCTCTGTACAGAAGGGGAGCCTGCGGGGCAGCTGCTGAGGAGGCTCCAGCCCTGGCTACCCCGTGGCCTCCCCGGGGCTCTGAGGCCTGCTTCAGCCCCTGGCCTCACCACCCAGCCCCACTCACCGGCCCCCCTGGTGGCTCCTGGCGGACCCTGGTGTCCAGCTGCTGCTTTCGGACCTCTCCCCCGGAGCTCTTCCTTACCAGACGGCTGGGTTCCGTGACCTCAGGGGCTTCTGGGCCTCCCAGCTGGGGTAAGCTCCCCCATCGCAGAGCTCCAGCAGGACCCCGGGTCCCAAGACCTGGGGAAACAAGGCTATGGCTACAGGCAGCTGCCCACCCTGGGCAGGAGATTTGGGAATGGGGTGGGCATGCCGCATCCCCCACTCTGGTGTGGCCCCTGGAGCCCTGGGGCGATCCGGGTGGGAGGATCTGGCTGCCCTGCAGAGGGAAGAGCCCGCGGGGAGGGGGCCAGGAGCTTCACTCTCGCCCAACTGTCACGACTGCCCCCCCCATCCGCCCAAACCCGCAGAGACCTGCAGAGCCGGCCGGTCGGTGGCAGGGGCAGGGACGCGGTGGGGCAGGCCAGCTGGGGGCAGGTGGGTAAACGCACCTTCCCTCTTCTCCCACTCCCCCACCCTCCGGAGCTCCGGACCGGCAGTCACCCCGAGCACTGCAGGAAAAGGCGGCTGCAGCAGCAAGCGCCGCACATCCTGGGGCGGCGGCAGGGAGGGGGCGCCGGGGCCGGGCGGGGGTCACTCACCGGGCGTGGGGAGCAGCGGCAGCAGCAGAGCCGCGAACGCCCAGCGCTGCAGCAGCCTCATGGCTCGCTCATTCCTCCCGGTCCGGGGGCTGCGGCTGCGAGCGGCGCGGGGAGGGCGGGAGCAGGGACGGGGGTGGGGAGGCGCCGGCTGTGGAGCCGGGGCGGGGGCGCGGGGCCGGGCGGGGGTCGCGGAGCGGTGGGGGCGGAGGGGACGGTGCCGGGGCTCAGTGCTCTCCGGCCGCGGCCATCCCGGCGGGGCGGCGGGGCCGGGTTAAGAGCGGAGCGGCGAGCACGTGAGCCCAGGGCCCGCCCTCCGCTCCCCCGCCGCCCCCGTTCCCCCCCCCCCCGCCCCCAGCCCCGCAGGGCCCGGGCCGCCGCCGCGGGAGGACAAAAGAGGCGCCGCCCGGGGGTCCCTCGGCGGCCCCTCGGCAGGTGCGGGGCGGCGGCGCTGCGCGTCCTCATCCCGCGGCCCCTCCTCGGCCACCTCTGCCTGAGCATCTCCGAGGACCCGTAGATTTGTACGGGAGGGAGGCAGGGGACAGGGGGACCCCCGGAGCCGAACCGGCGACCTCCCCTCTGGGGCTGGGGGCGGGTGTGTGTGGCTGCTGCGCCCGCGTTCGCCCTCGGTCGTGGTACCCAGAGAGGCTGCCCCAGCGCCAGCCCCATCCCTGAGTGCCCCGATTGACCCCAGGCTGTGGGAGCTGGGGTTGGGGTGGGCAGAGGCTCTTGGCGAACGCCCCGCTCCAGGATTTCTTGCCCTTTCCCCACAGGTCGTGTCACTGCGGAGTCCGCCCACGCCCACCGTCCAGACCCCTTCCCATCGGCTCCTTCTCCCCGCCAAACATGCCCGGCCTCCAGGAGGGCTTCAGGGATCACTGTCACTCCAACCATCAGGAAGGGCGGCATCTCCTTCTGGGCTCCTGAGTCTCTCACAGGCACCCTGTCCTTCTCCCTAGACAAAATATAAACTGGCCAGGGTCACTTGCATGCTGCTAGCATGGCCCATGGCTCCCCCTCCCTTGCTAGTCCCAATCCTTATGAGCGGAAGACATCTCTAGAGTCCCCCAGCCTCCTCTCTCTGGTCAGACTAGGCTGCCCTGTCTGCAAAATACTGGACCTCCTATCCTACATCCCCAGCTGTGCCCTCCACCCAGCTCCTGGGGACGATGGGTCCCAATACCAGGACTGGGACCTCCGACTTCTGCTAGAGGTGCTGAGGGCCAGGTACCTGAGATAGTGTGGGGTGTGGCAGGGCAAGCTGGGTGGGCTGCTGATGAGGCCCCACGCTGACCTTTTTGGTACCCATACTAGGGGACCACAGGTCGCTGAAGAACAAGATTGGAGGCAGGGAACCCCTTCCTGGGTTCTCTGCTTCCCCAAGGATCCAGGGCCTCTGCTGGGGATGAAGGAGCTGCCTCTGGCTTGTGACACCCCCCGCCCCCCCGCTCTATTTTAGGCTCTGGAGAGGTGAGAAGGCGATTTCCCAGGAGGCGCTGACATCAATGCAGGGAGCGAAGTGACTCCCCCCACCCCCAACCACCTGCCATGCCAGACCCAGATGCTTAGCAAGGCTGAGCCAATTCTTCCTTCGCTCTGGAGACATCTCGAGAACCTCCTCCAAGATGTAGGTGCGAAGAGGCTCCTGGGAATGAGAGCCTACTATGTGGTATTCCCTGGAAACTCACAATGAGTCCAGAGGGAGAGATTGTGCTCCCCATTTTACAGATGGGGAAACTGAGCCTGTGAGAGGTTATGTGAGCTTCCCAAAGTCACAAGGCTGGTCAGTGAGAGGCACCTCCCATACTCCAGGCCCACTCCTCTTAGCTATCCCTAGTCCTACTTCCTCTGTCCTCTGTTTGAAACCAGAGAGGACTGGTATATCTGGTCCCTTGCACATCACCACACACATCAGACACCGAAGTGGCTGTCCTACCCCAGCCTGCCCATGTCCCAGGGCCACATCAGCAAGTCCTGATCAGGAGTGCCCCCCAGAAGCCTGGATGAGATTTGTCATTTCACAGTAGAGGCCAGGGGCTGGGAGAGTCTGGGTCTTCTGACACTTTCAGGATCACAGAGCAAGCCCAGTTGGTGGTCCAGGCCCCTTCACCAGACACATGTTCCCACCATATCAGCGGCCCTGGGACCCTAACTTCCTGTTGGGGAGACCTGATGGGGCCCTAAGAGTGACTCTCCCTGGTGACACTCTGGGCTAGTTCCAGTGGGGACTCAGTCATATGACTCCCTGGCCCCCATAGCCACTTATATTCCTGGGTTCCCCAGCTCCCAGCAGATCTGGCTATAACTTACTTTTTTAAAACTTGTTTAATTTTTTTGGAGAGAGTTTTGCTCTGTCGCCCAGGCTGGAGTGAAGTGGTGTGATCTTGGCTCACTGCAACCTCCACCTCTGGGGTCAAGTGATTCTTCTCCCTCAGCCTATCAAGTAGCTGGGACAACAGGCGTGTCCCACCATGCCCAGTTAATTTTTTTTGTATTTTTAATAGAGATGGGGTCTCACCATGTTGCCCGGCTGTTCTCAATCGCTTAAATTTAGGCCAGGCATCCCCAAACTTTTTACACAGGGGGCCAGTTCACTGTCCCTCAGACCGTTGGAGGGCCACCACATACTGTGCTCCTCTCACTGACCACCAATCAAAGAGGTGCCCCTTCCTGAAGTGCGGCGGGGGGCCGGATAAATGGCCTCAGGGGGCCACATGCGGCCTGCCGGCCGTAGTTTGGGGACGCCTGATTTAGGCAATCCGCCTGCCTTGGCCTCCCAAAGTACTAGGATTACAGGTGTGAGCCACTGTGCCTGGCCTAGACCTTTTTTTTTTCCTTTTTATTTATTTGAGACAGAGTCTCACTCTGTTGCCCACGCTGGAATGCAGTGGTGCAATCTCAGCTCACTGCAACCTCCACCTCCCGGGTTCAAGTGAATCTCCTGCCTCGGCCTCCCAGCTAGCTAGGATTACAGGTATGCACTACCATGCCTGGCTTATCTTTGTATTTTTAGTAGAGATGGGTTCTTGCCATGTTGGCCAGGCTGGTCTTGAACTCCTGACCTCAAGTGATCTGCCCACCTCAGCATCCCAGTGTTGGGATTACAGGCGTGAGCCACTGTGCCCAGCATTTTTGTATTTTTGGAGAGATTGGGTTTTATCATATTGTCCTGGCTGGTTTCAACTCCTGGCCTCGAGATCCTCTCATCTCAGCCTCCCAAAGTGCTGGGATTACAGGCATGAGGCCAGTGCTTGGCATTAAAAAAATTTTTTTTTTGTAGAGATGGGGTTCTTGCTATGTTGCTCGGGCTAGTCTTGAACTCCTGGACTCAAGTGATCCTCCAGCCTCAGCCTCCCAAAGTACTGGGATTATAGCACTTTGGCAAGACCTCTTGCCTCTCCCTTGACCACAGTCCCCTCCCCTGTCTTGTGCTTGCCTCAGTTCTCTTAGGGGCCGTGGGTTCCCCACACAGAAAGCTTGCTTCACATTCCCTCACCCACCTTCCTCCTGAGGTCAGGGCTGTCTGTCTTCTCACTGGTGGCCCCTCATCAGACTGGGACTTCAGAACAGGGCTGTCTTCCTATCAGACCTGACCCTGATAGCAAGGGCTGTTTTCTGCTTAGATTGGAGCAGGCCTGTGTCTTCTCCTGAAACATAGGGTTCCCTAGGGGGCACCACCCCAACTCCACAGCTATGGCTGGCTCCTTCGGTCCCTATGCCCATCCCTTGAGGCTGCTGCCTAATGCCACCCTTGGGGTTGTCCTCGCTGAGGGAGCTGTGGGGCCCTGCCTAGGGGTTGGGCTCTGGCTTCCCTTAGGATCCCCCTCCCCTAGGAGGCTGGGGCCTCCTCCTTTCTGCCCCTCTTGAACCCTTCAGCCAATTCTCTCCAATTTTCTTGTGCAAGGGCCAAGCCAGGGATGTGGGGCCAAGACCTGTCTCTGCAACTGCAGGTAAGGATGGGGTACTTGCTACCCCCAGGCCTGGGGTGGTACCGTGGGCAGTGATTCCTGCCAGTGGAGGCCCTCCAGGCCTGGTGTCCAGCCTCGAGGCATGTAGCACAGACCATGCTAGTCAAGGGGGCAAGATGGTTTGGTGGGCAAGGGCAGGGTTGAGGGCTTCAGGCTGGGGTCCCAATCCTGCCTTCCCCAAGAATTGGCTGGGTGTCCTTGAGCAAGCCCACTGGCCTCTCTGGGACTTGGTTTCCTCATCCATGACATGGGGCTTAGAAAAACACCTCCCTCTCAGTGCTGCTGTCGGGGATGATGGCTGCGCTGCCCATGGTTGAAGCAGCATCTGGTGCATAAAAGGGGCTTACTCTGCACCGAGGAGCAAACTGGCTCCCTGGCCCTTCCTTGCCCAGGACCCCAGGCCTCTTTATGGCTTGGGGGCCCCAGGGCCCTCTCTCTACCCCATGTGGAGAGAACCTCAGCCTGATGACGTGACATGGAGGGGTGGCAGCAGGGGAAGTGCCCAGCATTGGACAGGAAATTCACCCTGCTTCCTCTCAGATGCCAGCCCAGGGTCCAAGGATTGTTCTCATCTGCACAGCTCTCCTGGGAAACCTCATGCTCCTCCCTCTCAGATTTTAATCTCTGAAGCTCTCAGCCTTCACCAAAGGAGAAGTTGGGGGCACGAAGATCCCAGGCACACTCATCTTTTGAGAGGCTTGTGGGGCATAACTATGGCCACACCCATAAGGTCCCAACTGCCACTTCTCTTCCACACAAGGGATCCTCCTGGAGTAGAGGAGAGTTGGCCCTTGGGAGGGGGCCTGGGACAGGTGGTCTCACAGTGCCCCTCAGCAGTTTCATTTACAAATGCACACTGAGATGAGGATGCCGGTCACCAAGGGACACTGCCAGGTGGGAGATGGTGAGAATAAGCTCTATGTAAGTCTAGGAGGGAGGTCTCACAGGCATGTGTACCTGTGGGTAATGTTATTTGTTGAGACAATGAGTAAGCTCTGTGCCACATACCTCACAAACACATCTAATTTCATTCTTGTGACTTCCTAGCAAGGTAGCAACTATGATTGCCTCCATTTTTTAATTTTTATTTATTTATTTTTGAGACAGAGTATTGCTTTGTTGCCCAGGTTGAAGTGCAGTGGCGCAATCTCAGCTCACTGCAACCTCTGCCTCCCCGGTTCAAGTGATTCTCCTGCCTCAGCCCCCCTAGTAGTTGGGATTACAGGTGCCTGCCATCATGCCCGGCTAACTTTTTTAATTATTTTTTTTGAGACAGAGTTTCGCTCATTACCCAGGCTGGAGTGCAATGGCGCGATCTCGGCTCACCGCAACCTCCGCCTCCTGGGTTCAGGCAATTTTCCTGCCTCAGCCTCCTGAGTAGCTGGGATTACAGGCACGCACCACCATGCCCAGCTAATTTTTTGTATTTTTAGTAGAGACGGGGTTTCACCATGTTGACCAGGTTGGTCTCGATCTCTTGACCTTGTGATCCACCCGCCTCGGCCTCCCAAAGTGCTGGGATTACAGGCCCACCGCGCCCGGCCCCCGGCTAACTTTTGTATTTTTTTTTTTTTTTTTTTTTTGAGACAGAGTCTTGCTCTGTTGCCAGGCTGGAGCACAGTGGCGCAGTCTTGGCTCACTGAAACCTCCGCCTCCTGGGTTCAAGTGATTCTTCTGCCTCAGCCTCCCAAGTAGCTGGGACTACAGGTGTGTGCCAAATGCCCAGCTAATTTTTGTATTTTTAGTAGAGACGGGATTTCACCATGTTGGCCAGGCTGGTCTCGAACTCCTGACCTCAAGTGATCTGCCAGCCTTAGCCTCCCAAAGTGCTGGAATTACAGGCATGAGCCACCACACCCAGCCTAGATTACCTCTATTTTTAGATCAAGAAAACAGTTTGAGCTGGGCACAGCTGAAACTCCCCTGGGAACGGAGCCAAGGTCCAGGATGAGGAAGAGTTCTCAGGTATGCCACACTCATGCTGGTGGCAGGACAGGGAAGGACATAAAAGGTTTGCTGGTGGGTCACGGTATTTTATTATAGAAAAGGCCCCTGACATCATCTCATCTAAGCCCCTTAAAGATGAGGAAACTGAGGTCCGAGTAATAAAGGCATTTTCCCAAGGTCACAGTATGAGTTGGGGCAGCTAGCCCCTGCATTCCGCCCGGCAGAAGGCCGCTGGGGTGGAGCTACCAATTGGTCACATCTGCTGAGAAGTGAAAGGGTCAGCGAGGAGATGAGACCAAAGGCCTTGGAATCTGGTCTGAGGGAAGCTGGAGGGCTCTTCAGGTGTCTCGGAGCTGACTCAGGGCAGATAGCAAGGCCTCTGCTAAACGAACGAATGAGGGAATGGGCAGTGGTAAGGAAGGGCAGGGGGACGGAGAGCCAGGCCACTGAGGGGCTGCCGGGACCAAGGGAGCCAGGCTTCGAGGAGGAAAGAAAGAAGAAAAAGAACCAACTTTGGTTGTTAGTAGCCTGTCCATGACCTTGGAATAGATGATCCTAGTGGGATGCCTCAGGCAGAGCAACCCAGGAAGGAAGTGTAGGAGGGGAAGGAGGTGAAGAGGAGGTGGACAGAAGGTGGGAGTTTTCAAGTATTTGAAGTTGATTTACTGAATCAACTTGAGTATTTTCCAGGATAGTGGAGCATGGCATTTTGGGCAGAGGGAAGGAGAGGTGGCAAGTCTGAGAAGGAAACCAAAAATGGTGGCTGGCTTGCTGGGCTGGAGGGCCAAGGAGAGACAGTGTGACTTGTGGAGGAAGGATATCGCTTCCTTTGAAACAGAAACAGCAAGATGATGTTGAAAGGGGACTGACTGCAAGATGGGGCAGTGCCCACTGGGTCTAGGTCAAGGTCATCTGGGGAGGGTGGGGGATGTGGAAAGGGGGCTGGAGTAGGAGGGAGTCTGACAGTGCTCACCCCAAGGAGCCACTGCAGGACCTCATTCACATCAAGCAGCACCCATCCTGGGTCAGGTCTCAGGTGTTGTGGGTCCATCTCTAACTTGAATCTACAGCTGGGAAGCTGCAATGGAGAAATGGCTGAGGAGCGTTACAGCCGTGGGGTTTGGCCTGGCAGAGATGTCCAAGGTCATGATCATTGAGATGGGAGGGGAAGGCAAGGGTAGCCAGATGTGATGTTCAGGGAATGGGTCCTGGGTAGCTGGCAATGAGGGCATTGGACTCTGGCAGCACAGGCTTTTTGTGAGCAGCAGGTGAAGGTACTGGTCTGAGAAAGGGGCAAGGGGCAACTACCTCATGCAGAGGGGTGGTGTCATGGGGAATGGGGCAATCCCATGTCACAAAAAGAAAGGGATGTACCCAGCGGTGTCCAGATATAAGCCACAGTCTGGCTTCAGGGAAGGGTGAGCCCTTAGCAGGAATGTCAGCCGGGGCAAAGGAGTTTCCTTGGGAGGGAGTGAGGGACATGATCTCCGCAGGTGGCCACTCCCCAGGCAGCAGAGCCAAGTAGGTGACAGGATGAGACTGGGTAAAGGAGGCTGGACAGGGACAGAGGCCGCTTGCTTCCGGAGCCCTTGGGAGAGGCTGGCAGGAGGGCTGTGGCACTCACACATGTATAGCTTGCAGGAAGTCCCATCCCACCATCCAACGATTCCCTGCTGGCCCGCAGCCCTGCCTTGGGTCACTGGAGGGCAGATCAAGGACCAATGCATGGCACTCCAGCCCCATCTCTTTCCTATTTATTAACAAATTTATTTACATTTCCTGAACCAAAATTCATTATAAAACTTAACAGGAAGGGGGTAACATGACCTTTAAAGTGGGCTGTACACACAGTTGCTCTATTTCCAAACTAAGAACTTGAGTCCTCACCCGCAGCTGGGCCCCCCTTTCTTCCTCTGAAAGGAGACACAGAATAGCGCCAGGGTTCCGGGAGCTTCAACATTTAAAGAGACAAATGCAGGGATGCAGAGAAGGGTGAGAACCACAGTACAAATTGTAATGAAAAAAAAAAAGTGGCCAGAGAATCGATAGCAAACCCATTTCTGTCTCCAGATTAATGGCTTGGCTGCCAGAAATGGGGGGAGGTCCTTGGGGAAAGAGAGGAGGGAGTGAGGGAGGAGGGTGAGTGGAAGTTGGCAGGTGACACACTGGCCCTGGAATAGCCGAACTCTGGGTGGGCGGCTCAAGCTCAGGAAACAGAGAAGGGCTGAGAGGGGTTCCACATCCTGGGCTCAGGAGAAAGGTCAGTGCTGGGCCTCAACTAAGTGCCTGGGGGAGGGAGCTCTGTGAGTGGCGCAGCCCGAGCCCCTCCTCTGCTTCATATGTTCCTGAGGATCTGTGTGCAGGAGTGTGGGGGGCTGGGGGAAGGGATGAACACAGGCATTTCGGAAAGCAAGAGCGGCCACGTGCTCACGGGAAAGGAGGCTGGGGTTGGGGGTGGAGAACACCAACAGCTAACCCTCGGCTCTGCAGAGGCAAGGGCCTGCGGAGGGCCAGAAAGCTGGGCCAGGACTCCTGCTGCCCCAACTCCTTTGTGGTCCCTCCCCATGCCAACTTCACCTCTACCTCCTGGTGTGGGCAGCCAGCCTCGGCTGGGTAAGTCCACTGTAGACTCTGCCTGGTTAGGAACATGGTGGAGGCGGGAGTAGGAGAGGGCAGCCCCCAGCCCAGATTTCCTCCCAGAGACCTGGCCAGTGGGAGGGCTGGCTCTGTCGGCTCCATGGAGCTGAATGTGACAGCTGCTTACTGCACTTCAAAGATCAGGCCCAGGCCTCCTTCTGGCTCTTTGGGGAAGTGCTGGGGCTCTGCCCCTCCTGTGTTCTGATCAGCCCTGGCCAGGTGTGTGGCACCCAGCAGAAGAATAAATTGTGTCTTTGGCCCTTCAGTCTGGAGCTGCCTGGCCCCATGACGAGCCAAGCACCTTGGGGACTCACAGGAGCAGCTCTCTGCCAGCATGGGGCCGGGGCTGAGGCCGGGGCTGGGAGACCGGGAGGCAGGGCACCTGGAGAGGCTGGGGGGCCCAGAGGCATCGGGAGCAGCTAGCTCCTGCACTGGCTGGCCGGGGCTTGGGGGGAGAGGTAGACTTGGTCTCTGCAGGTGCTCCTGAGGGCTGCTCACTGGTAGCTGAGTGAGGCGGGGCTGATGGCCAGCCTGGAGCTATGGGGCAGCTGGGGAGCTGGCCAGCCTCCTGGGATTCAGGGCCAGGGGCTGCACACTCAGAATCCTCAGGCCCTGGGGGCCACTCTCCCCCCAGCCAGAGGGGCTGTGTGGCCCAGAACTCTGCTGGTCTGTCTGTGAGCTGCCAGGGGAAGGGGTCTGGGAGAGAGAGGCAGGTCTGTGAGTGGCACGAGGGCAAGAGGGAGGCAAGGGGCCTAGACTGATGGCCTGGAAGAGGAAGAGAGGGAAGATGCTTGCCACTGGTTGTCCTGGTACCACAGGGGCTGGGGGCTCTTGGGACAAAAAATGAAGCCTGTGGCCAGGAGGCCCCCGCTCTCTTCTCAGCACTGCCACTGGGGAACTGAACCTTCCGCTTGTGGCCAACAAGTGCCAGGTCTGGGCCAGAGGAGAGTTCCATAAAACCAGAGCTAGGCAGGAGGCATTGGCAAGCAGGGCTCCTGAACACTGGTGTCCCTGGGTGGTCCACGAACACATCAACTGACCCCTCCAGGTCCTGGCAGCTTGCTATAGGTCCGGGTACCTCGCCAGTCCCTGCACGTTCAGCTGGTGCCTGCATGCTGTCCACTGTCCCATCCTGCTCTGGGAAGCCTGATGCCTGGCAGCTGTCTTCTTTCCTCATCCTGGGAGATGCTGCCCTGGGATGGGAGAGCTGGCAGGGGTGCAGAGTCTCAGGAAAGAGAGGGTCACAGTCAGAAGCCAGGGAACCTGACCACCTGTTGGGAAAGAAACACCCAGTTAGCTGCAGATGTCAACTCCACAGCGGGCCTGGCCCACGGCTGACGGCACAGGGACATCTGCCGAGAGAGCTGCCTACTCTGGGGCCTTGTGTGAAAGTCCTCCTGTTTGGGTCTGAACCCCCTGCAGCTGCGACCTGTGGTTGGGGCTTGCCAGATGAACATGTTAAACGCTCTTCCATTTAATTATTTCACAGAGGAGGCTGTGCCCTTTGGCAACTGGAGAAAGCAGCGCAGTGCCTGGCTGTGAGAGCTGAGCTTGAGGTGGAGATTTGGGGTGAGAGGTGAAGCCACTGCCCCAGGTGGGAAAGGGTCTGCCTTGCTGGCAGAAAGGGGAAGCTAGGCTCAGAGGGACCTGGAATTCCCACCAAACCACATGCAGTGGTTCCTTCTGGGGGTGACTTCTAGAGAGGGGGAAAGACTTTGCTCTTTACCTGTCTGGGAGGGGCCCAGGAACTACTCCCCCTGCTCCCCGGCCGGAACTCCTTATCATCCACATCAAAGCCCATGGGGTGGAAAGGGAGCCATGGTCTGGTCTAGGTCTAATCTTGATCAACTGAAGCCACAAATGGAGGTCTTTTTATTTTTATTTTTGGCCACCCCCAAAACAAATAGGACCAAGGATGAGGGGAAAAGAAGGTGAGAAGAGAAAAATATCACAGTCTGCTCCCAGCAGCCACCAACCTGAGGTCTCTTCCCATCTAGAGGGCAACAGAGGAGACTGCAGACGCTGTTGTGCCTGCCAGTGTGGCACTCACCTGGGGAGACTGGCCTGGAAAGGGATGTCTGCAAAACTGTGGCTGAGCTGGGCGATGATCCTGTCCACCTCTGCATATGGACGGGCTTCTAGGGCAAAGCCCCGGTGCTGGGCACTCTGAAGATGCTGCCGGGGGTGAGAGGAGGACAGGGCATTAGATGAGGCCTGCAGGGAAGGGGACACCCAAGCTGACCTCCTAGTCCATGCTCTGGCCCTGGAGGACACAGCCACAGCAGCATGGAGACTGGGCAGGAAGGACTCATCCCCAGTGGGCAGGCTCCCTCAGGGCACTCTGGGAGCAGCTGCTGAATGGGGAAGGGGCTCACCACGTGGAGCTCCTCAAAGCCCTCTTGGCAGCACTCGCAGTAGCCTTTCTTCCTCCTGGGCATGGTTTGGGCAGCTGATCTTGGGCTTGGCTCTCCATCCTTGGATTCTCTGGGGAGGGTACACGGTGCGGCAAAGTGGTTACTGCTGGGGCCCTTGGCCCTTGGGGGAGAAGCCCCTACTTTGCGCCTACCTAGAGCCTAGGCCAGGGAGGGGAAGGACCAAGATGGCCAAGGGGCTGGGCAGGCACAGGCAGGAGGGTTGGCCTGAGCTTGGTACCACTCATCTAAGAATGGCAAGAGAGGGAGCAAGGAAGACAACTGGAGATCTCCCTGTGGGCAGCCTGTCTTATCTCTGTCCTCTCTCTTTTTTTTTTTTGAGACAGAGTCTAGCTCAGTCACCCAGGCTGGAGTGCAGTGGTGTGATCCAGCTCACTGCAACCTCTGCTTCCTAAGCTTAAGCCATTCTCCTGCCTCAGCCTCCAGAGTAGCTGGGATTACAGGTGCCCGCCACCATGCCTGGCTAATTTTTGTATTTTTAGTAGAAATGGGGTTTTGCCATGTTGGCCAGGCTGTTCTTGAACTCCTGACCTCAAGTGATCCTCCTGCCTTGGCCTCCCAAAGTGTTGGGATTACAGGCGTGAGCCACTGTGCCCGGCCAAGCCTGACTTCTTATCTGAATATCAGCCCCATATTTCTAACAACCAAAGGGTGTTTCTATCTGGCTATCCAGCAAACTCAACAAGTCTAAAACATTCCTTTTAAAGACTTCCTAAGTATGACACAAAACCCAGATGACATACAGAAAAACTCATAAATTCAGCTATATACAACTTTAAAATATGTATACATGGCAAAAGCATCATTAGCAAATTATACATTAGGCTTTGTGTCCCTGCCCAAATCTCATATTGAATTGTAATCCTTATAATTCCCATAATCCTCAAGTGTCAAGGGAGAGACCGGTGGAGGCAATTGAATCATGGGGTGGTTTCCCCCACTCTGTTCTTGTGATAGTCAGTTCTCATGAGATCTGATGGTTTCCTAAGGGGTTCTTCCCCCTTCGCTTAGCACTTCTCCTTCCTGCCACCTTGTGCAGAAGGTGCCTTGCTTCCCCTTTGCCTTTCACCATGATTGTGAGTTTCCTGAGGCCTCCCCAGCCTTGCTGAACCATGAGTCAATTAAACCACTTTCCTTTACACATTACCTAGTCTCAGACAGGTCTGTAGAGCAGTATGAAATGGACTAATATAGCAAAGTTAAAAGACAAACCACAAACTTGGGATTTTGTTGTCTTTTAAAAATATTTACAACTTCTCTGGTCAGGGAGGCTTAGAAATAAATAAATATATATAATTATTGAATATATATTAAATATATTTAATACATTTAAATATATATACATATATATATGTATCTATATATATTTACAACTGCCAGGTGTGGTGCTCACACTTGTAAATCCCTGTACTTTGGGAGGCCAAGGCAGGAGGATCGCTTGGGCCCAGGAGTTTGAGATCAGCCTTAGCAACATGGTGAAATATCACCTCTACAAAAAATATTAAAATTAGCCACGTGTGGTGGTGTGCACCTGTAGTCCTAGTTACTTGAGGGGCTGAGGTGGGAGGATCACCTGAACCTGGAAGGTAGAGGTTGCAGTGAGCAGAGAAAAGAAAATATTTACAACTACAAAGGGCTCCTTTCTCTAATATGAGAAGGACTCCTTACAACTCATTAGTGGTCAATAATCCAAATAAATAATGAGCAAAGGATATAAAGAAGGTCACATAAAAAGAAATTCAAACAACCAAACATATGCAAACATACTTAGCTTCATTCAGTTTTTAATCTGTTATACTGGAGGTTAACATACCTGCCAGTCACAGCATTAGGCAAGGGGATGGGAAACAGCCTCTCTCAGGCAGTGCAGGTGAACAAAAAAGTTGGTATCCCCTCCATGAAAAGCCATTTGGCTGAATTTATCAAAATTATAAATGCATACATCTTTTGACCCAATATTTCTATCTTTAGGAATTTATTCCACAAATACACTTGAATAATTGCAAATTTACTCTGAACATAATTTTCATTGGAGCTAATATAAGCATCCATGAATAAGAGACTGAATAAGGTTAAAAAAATGAATAAAATAGGTTAAACAAAGGTTAAATAAAATACAGCAAATACATTCTATACAATGGAATAATGGAATACCCTGCAGTCATAAAAGGAAACATAAATTTTTTTTTTTTTTTGAGACAGGTCTCACTCTGTCACTCAGGCTGGTGTGCAGAGGCACCACCTTGGCTCACTGCAACTTTCACTTCCCAGGCTCAAGCAATTCCCCAGCCTCAGTCTCCTGAGTAGTTGAGACTACAGGCTTGCGTTACCATGCCTGGCTAATTTTTGTATTTTTAGTAGAGGTGGGGTTTCACCATGTTGCCCAGGCTGGTCTCACACTCGTTGAGTTCAAGTGATCCACCTGCCTCGGCCTCCCAAAGTGCTGGGATTACAGGCATAAATCACTGTGGCCAGATTTTTAAAAATATAAAAATGGAGATGGGGTCTCATGTTGCCCAGGCTGGTCTTGAACTCCTGGCCTCAAGTGATGCTTCCCCCTTGGGCTCCCAAAGTGCTGGGATTACAGGCGTGGCCTATCTCCAGAGATAGTTTATGAATACACAAGTATATGTGTATCCTTTGTTCCCTCTTCTTACAGAAAAAATCATACAGGCTGGGTGTGGTGGCTCACACCTGTAATCCCAGCACTTTGGGAGGCGAAGGCAGGTGGATCACGAGGTCAGGAGTTTGAGACCAGTCTGACCAATATAATAAAACCCCGTCTCTACTAAAAATACAAAAAATTAGCTGGGCGTAATGGTGTACACCTGTAATCCCAGCTACTCAGGAGGCTGAGGCAGGAGAATTTTGTGGATCCAAGGAGGCAGAGGTTGCAGTGAGCAGAGATCGCACCATTGCACTTCCGCCTGGGTGTAGTATTTACAGTGCTGGATCTTACTCGCTTTTTCTTTTCATGCCACCCCAGCTGTGCTCTCCCTTTGGCAGGGATGAGGCACCACTCAGATCTCCTCCAGCCTCTACCCCTGGGAGAAAGGTTGCACCAGTGGGGGGATAGAACTGGACACTGGGTGTGGAATATAGACTTTTCACATTAAACCATTTGTAACTCAAATTTTAAACCAAAATATGATTTAACAAATGTAAAAATTTAAACTCCTCCTCCCACACACACACACACACACACACACACCAGGGCCAACGCCCTGCCTAGGCTCCTCACATGCAGATACCAAAGCTTCATTGCTTCATCTTCCCTTTACAGCCTCTTAGCTCCTCTGTGATCCCAAGGCCATCCCAGGTCTAGCATTCCTGCCAGCACCAAGCCTGGGCCACCTTCTGACTGGCTCTCTCTGGTATCCCTTGTATTGGGACTTAACCTCACCTCTTTCTCTCCTTGCTCCCACTCCATCGACTGCCACATTCCCTTAATTTTTTCCCTCCTGTTTGTACTATTTTCTGACCCACAGCCTTCATCAGCTAATGGAATCCACAGACTCTCCTTGGCCCTAGGAACTCTAGGGTTGAAATTCTGCTCTGTTCTATCCTGGTCTATAACTCCATAGCCCAGAAGTTAGAAAGGGTCTGAGAAGGCATCTCACCCATCACCTGAGCTTGAATCACACATTAGAAAGGGAGTTAATACTTCCACTCTTGCTGTCTCCCTCCACTCTAAAATTCAAATGATTTGACAGTTTCAAAGAAATGTTGTAAAGTATTTAATTTAGATCTGAAAAAACAAAAATTTTGTCAGAGTTAAAAGTGTACAGATAGAGACCCTTTTCATTCTAAAGAAACATGCTTTCATTGACTCTTTCTTTAGATAACTATGTTCATCAACTGGTTGCAAGTAAAACAGATGGGAAAATAGTACAATATGAATCTGAGGGGGATACCTGCCAGGAAGAGAAAATAGATGCCTTATAGTTAGAGGTAAGAGACTTAATGAGTTGTCACTCAATATCTGTTGATATTCTCTATTTTGGTTAATGAAAGTTTTCAAATTCTCAAACATCTGTAAAGTAGGAACATTAACAAGCCCACAAGCCACGAGCTACATAATGCAGCAATCTTTCCCCCCCAACCCCACCCTTTACTTATTCCTGATGTTTGGCCTAACCAGTTTAAACTTTGATATGCACTGAAATCAGCTGGGAGCTTGTAAGAATACTGCTTTTGGAGCTCTATCATCAGAGATTCTGATTCCATAGATGTGGAGTGGAGTTTAGGAACCTACATCTTTTTTTTTTTTTTTTTTTTGTTAGACAGAGTTTTGCTCTTGTTACCCAGGCTGGAGTGCAATGGCGCGATCTCGGCTCACCGCAACCTCTGCCTCCTGGGTTCAGGCAATTCTCCTGCCTCAGCCTTCCGAGTAGCTGGGATTACCGGCACGCGCCACCATGCCCAGCTAGTTTTTTTTTGTATTTTTAGTAGAGACGAGGTTTCACCATGTTGACCAGGATGGTCTCGATCTCGTGACCTCGTGATCCACCCGCCTCGGCCTCCCAAAGTGCTGGGATTATAGGCGTGAGCCACTGCGCCTGGCCTTTTTTGAGACAAGGTTTCACTCTGTCACCCAGGCTGGAGTACAGTGACACAATCATAGCTCACTGCAACCTTGAACTCCTGAGCTCAAATGATCCTCCTGCCTCAGCATCTGAGTAACTGGGGCTACAGGCACTTGTCATCATGCTTGACTAATTTTTTTTGAGAAGGAGTCTTCCTCCATTGCCCAGGCTGGAGTGCAGTGGCACAATCTCAGCTCACTGCCCTCTGCCTGCTGGGTTCAAGCAATTCTCCTGCCTCAGCCCCTCAAGTAGCAGGGATTATAGGCGTGCACCACCATGCCGGGCTAATTTTTTTTGTATTTTTAGTAGAGACGGGGTCTCACCATATTGGCCAGGCTTGTCTCAAACTCCTGACCTCAAGTGATATGTCCACCTCGGCCTCCCAAAGTGCTGGGATTACAGGCATGAGCTACTTTGCCTCACTCACAATTTTTTACATTTTTTTTTTTTTTTTTTTTTTTCAGAGACAGGGTCTTGTTATGTTTGTTTGCCCAAGAGGGTCTCAAACTCCTGGCCTCAAGTGATCCTCCCATTTTGGCCTCTCAAAAAGTGCTGAGATTACGGGCATCAGCTGCTGTGCCCAGCTGGAACTTGTATTTTTAATGAGACCCCAGGGGACTCTGATGATGGTGGTCTATAGACATGAGTCTGAGAAAGCAGCCTATTGTCCTCTGTGTATACTAGTAAACCCTGCCAAGTGAGGTAACTGCTGGACACACCATGTTTGGTTGCAATGGTCTATGCTCTGGGGTAGACAGTGCAGGCCAGGGATTTTGGGGGGTGGGCAGGGTAAGAGTGCTGTGGCTTAACAGTGAATTAACAAATAAGTCTTCTTAGACTCTTAAGGAGAAGGGGGTGCCCCTCACAACCCTGGCACCTCCTTTTCTTCTTCAAGTTAAATTCTTCAGTAGGGATAAAGAACACAAAATAAAATGGATGAACGTTCCTAGTCTCTCTTCTCTGGGCTACGCTCCCAGAATAGACTTTGCCTAAGGAGCAAACACATGGCCATTCCCAAATCTGACCAGCAGGCTCCCAATGGGGAGGACTTTGGCCTGTAGACAGCCCTTGGTACTCGGGAACCAGAAAGACCCACCTGGTATGGTGCATGCTGCCCGTGGTCGTCGGAGCCTCAAAGGGACTTGCATCTTTGGGTCCCAGAAAAGAAATTTCAGGAAAGGATTTAAACTGATGATGGAAAGGACGAAACTTCCTGCAACAGAGAAAACTTCCACTTTGACTACAATGGGGAAGGTAAAGACTGAGGAGGGGGGCTAGCCCAACACTCTAGAATTCTAGCCCTGAAGTGGACTCTCATCTCCACACCTTTTAAGTTCTGTAGCAAAATTATCAACAGCCTTTCCAGGTTAAATTAATATGAATGTTCTCCCTGTCTACTTTTCAAACTCATACTCACTGCCTCCCTGGAATCCTGTAAGCACCCTCTGGGCGAAGTGGAATAAATGGTGCCATCCTATTTTATATCTAAGGAACTGAAGCCCAAAAGGTTCTGTGACTTGCTCAAGGGCTCACAACTAGTTAAGTGGCCAAGGTCAGATCAGAAGCCACATCTCGACACTCCCGATCTACCTTTTCCCCTTTTCCCATTTTGTTTCTTGACCCTATCTTTGAGGACTTTAATCTTTGAGGACTCTAGCCTGGCAGATTCTAAATGGAGGAATGTTTAAACCAGAGCATTGATTTTCCTGTTCTGCGAAGTGTTCTTGCTGGTCCTTAGAACCATCTGAGGGCTGGTGTTCTGAATGGAGAAGAGAGGCATAGTGAAGGTTCCGGATAGTCAGACCTGGACTGAGTGGTTCTGGCAGTGTGCCTCAGGTTGTAAGCTGCAAACATTCAAGAGACTTGCAGAGACAGATGTGATCTGTGTACACTCGGGAAACCCTGACAAGTGAGGTAACTGCTGGACACACCATGTTTGGTTGCAATGGTCCATGCTCTGGGGTAGATAGTACAGGCCAGGGGGTTCTTGGGGAGCAGAATAAGAGTGCTATGGCTCAGCAGTGAATTAACAAATAAGTCTTCTTCGACCCTCAAGGAGAAGGGGATATCCCTCACAACCCTGGCACCTCTCTTCTTCTTCAATGATGTTTTGTTTCTGCTTAGGAGGCTTGAAACTTGAGGATGGTCAGGTTAATAGGCCTAATAGGCTTTGAAGCCACCTGCTTCAAAACAGCACATAAAAAAATCACCAGAGGCTGGGCACAGTGGCTGCCACCTTAATCCCAGCACTTTGGGAGGCCAAGGCAGGTGGATCACCTGAGGCCAGTTTGTGACCAGCCTGGCCAACATGGCCAAACCCTGTCTCTATAAAAAATACAAAAATTAGCCAGGCATGGTGATGAACACCTTTAGTCCCAGCTACTTGGGAGGCTGAGGCAGAAGAACCTCTTGAACCTGGGAGGCAAAGGTTGCAGTGAGCCAAGATTGCACCACTGTACTCCAGCCTAGGCAAAAGAGTAAGATTCCATCTCAAAAAAAAAAAAAAAAAAAAAAAAAAAAAAATCATAAGAGCACCACACACATTATGTACCCCTGTCTGGTGACAGTGATATTCCAGTTCCTGCCATGTGCAGTGCAGACACTGAGGCTGTGACAGTGCCTCTCAGCCATGCCTTTGTGTCTTGATTACCTGTGTTTAAATAGGTGTGAAGGGGCTGGGGGTGAACACACACTCCATCCCATTGGAACTGGAAGGGGGCACCTCTGTACCATCCCGTTGGTTTTTCCACTTGCCTTTGGGCCACCAAAGCCAGCGCTGCATTGTCTGCAGGTGCTGAGAAGGGTACCCGGGCTTGTCTGGAGGACAGGCAAGCATGCCAGGCTTCTGGGGCTGGGTCTCAGCTGCCCTGCCCTGCCCTACCTGAGGCACACAGACAATTCTGGCCTCAGTAGTCTCTTCTGGATATACATGGACTTATTTCAAATTTTTTATTTGGTCTGAAAATGCCTTTTTGGGAAAAAAAATTTACAAAAATTTAAATTTTGAGATAATTATAGATTCACATAGTCTTTTGATCTTGTACTTACTAAAGATTTAGTGATAACCAAGGTGGCTGCTAATAGCTCATTGGGTTAACAATGTCAAGGGGGCCCTCCTGCTCCAGGTAAGAAGAGGCCATAATGGTAGACAGAGAAGGCACAAGACAGGGCAGGCAGGACACCTGGATTCTAGCCTTGGGCTGCAGTTTATTAGCAAGGTGGCTGTATACAATCCCTTCCTTTCTCTGACCTCAGTTTTCCCCACTAGGAAGAGACAGACTCTCTTCACGTTTTTTTCACCCAGGGCTGTCAGGAGGTAACATGAGCCAGAAAGGGATTTTTCAAAGTGAAACAGAAAGGCTTCATCAAGTACAGGCTGGCTTGACAAGGGAATCCCCAGTACCACCCCGAGCATCCTTATTTCAGCCAAGATGATGTCTTGGACTGTACTAGCACTGTGACTGGGTCAGTAATGATTTGACATGAAATGCTGGCACACACCCAGGGAGAAAGGAGCTGCAATAATGAGCCTGCATGGGATACCACGAGCTCACAGAGCAGAGTATTAAATGGGGGTAATTCACACACAGGATCATTAACCTCTGACTCATCTCCAAAGGGACTATTCACTATATAATGCCACTCTCAGAGGCTCTTCCTGGTCTATGTGAGACTTCTCCATGACAGTGGGAGAAAGTGGCTTCTCAGGAGGATGAAGGTGCAGGGCTAAGGGGCTCCATGTCTTCACATTAGCTTGAAGCCCCCGAGTACTCCCCCCTCCTCTGTGCAGGCCTAGTGGGGGCAAGCAGAGAGAGGAGGTCCCACTCACCTGCTTTCATCTTCAATTTTGAGGAACGGTGCCTTCAGTCTGGCCACTGGAAGGGGAGAAATGCACACATTAGCTATCCATCTGCCTGTACAGGGCCTGCACCACACATGCAGGAAGTGCTCAGAGAGGGGAGGCTCTGCCAAAGCCTAAGAGCCTGGCATCATGCCGCCCCAGGCTGCACTCTCCGTGTGGGAAGAGTGAGGCACCACTCCTCCAGCCTCTAACCCTCCCTCAGCAGGACACATGAGCTCCCGTGCGTGGATTCTGGAGGCTATCAATCAACCAAAGATGCCACCACTATCAGACACCTGGCTTGTTTGGTGGGAGAAACCCAGCCCCTGCTGGTTTCTGCTAAAAGCAGAGTGGGAGTGGTCAGTCCCACAAAGTCCCAGGTCCTTCCTAGACCTCTGCTCCTGGAGGCTTAGGATACTGAGGGACCTGAGAACAACTCCTCAGGCAGAATGCTCCATGAGGACCCTGGGTTTTTTGGAGGAGAAGCAGAGGAAGAGGGATAAAGAGTGTTGTCTTGGTAGCAGGATGGTAGAAAAATATCACAGGTGAAATCTGGTTCCTGAAAAAATAGGGCAAAGGAGTGCTGAGAAGACAAATTTGGAGTCATTTAAGAGACTCACCCTTATTAGATACTTATTTGCATAGCTTACAAAATCTCTTAGGCATCAGGACCCACAGTACCCAGGAGTCCTGTCAAAGGGGCAGCAAAGGCAGCTGGAAGCCTGGGCCCATCTGACAGCCACAGATTCCCCAAAGAGGCTGGCACTTTACAGCTCCCAACTGTACTTGAGGCTACCAGTAGCACCCAAGCAAAAAACAGCCTGTTCTCCTTTAAAAGCAGCTCTTATTAATTACTTTTTGGGGACAATTTCTTGTCTTTCTAATTAACTGAGACAGTTATTACAATCAATTCCCCTACAGACTTCCTTGAATTTTGAGCATGAGAGAGGTGCCAAGTGACTTTTCTTAGCTCCTGCTTGTGCACGAAGAAATGCCACTGAAAGAGCATCTTTGGGAGAAACATCCAGGGGGAGAAACTCTCCTGCTGTCCAAGAGGAACCAGGAGATGGAGTCCATCAATCTGCCAGTTTGCCAGTTTCAGGGAGTTTGGCAGTTCTGAAAATGGTAGGCAGCTGTCAAACTGTCCACCCCCAAACTGCTACTGAATCAGAAGGAAAAGGATGCTAAACCTCAATCGATGCCCGGGAACAGCCAGAGGACACAGGAGCCAAAGTGTCTGCATGGGGTCTTGGCTCTGAAGGAGAAGCCTTGGCCCAGCAGCTCTGGACTTGCTCTTGGACATGCCTCTCTCGCTCTAGAAACCTGAGGCCCAGGCCCTGGAAACACAAAGGGGCAACATAACCTGGACTTGCTTCCTGCCACAGAAAAGTGAGCAGATGCTGCCACAGAGGGAGTCGTGGAGAAGTGTTTAGGGAGGGAGGGATTGCAATTAGATGAGGAAAAGCTACCACACTGACCTTTCCGTGTTCTTGACTCTGCTGCTGGACATGTTCCCTAAATGGAAAGGAAAAATAGGTTAAGGATGTGAGGAAGCCACGGGGGTCAAGGAACTGGGCCTGATAAGCCAAGTGGCTGCCAGTCTGTCCCACTTTGCTTCCTGCTGCTGGGAGGCCTGCAGAACCAGACTCTTGGGCCCTGAGCTGGAGCAGACCTGGGCACAACAGCTCCCTCCTGGGCAACACAATGAATAAGGAGCACTCAGCATGTGAATCTCAATGGCAGCTGACTGTGTAGGGAGCGTAGGACAGTGCAGAGAGCAAGAGCTCTGGAGCCCAGAGGCCTGGTGGGAACTTGAGCTATGTCACCTGCAATGCGAGGAGTACCCACCTACCTCATAGCATGTGGCAGAGTAGATGCTCACTAAATGGCAGCTTTATTTTCTAGATACTGATGCTGTTCCAAGTGCCCTGTAGGACTAGGATGAAGACAATGGCCATTTGCTTGCCTATGTCCTATCTTGTGTACTCTGATTCTGTGGGTCAAAATCAATGTTTAAGCCAAGGTCAAACAAAGCTGATATTAAAAAGCAAATGGAGGCTGAGCACAGTGGCTCACACCTGTAACTTCAACACTGGGAGGCTGAGGCAGGTGGATTGCTTGAGCTCATGAGTTTGAGACCAGCCTGGGTAGCATAGTGAGACCCTGTCTCTACAAAAAAAAAAAAAAAAAAAAAAAAAAAAAAAAGCCAGGCATTGTGGCACACGCCTGTAGTCCCAGCTACTTGGGAGGTTGAAGTAGAAGGATAGTTTGAGCCCAGGAGGCAGAGGGGGCAGTCAACAGAGATGGTACCACTGCACTCCAGGGTGAGTGACAGAGCCAGAAAAAAAAAAAAAAGTAAAGTTAAAAAAAAAGCAAAGTAAAATAAAAAAAAACCCAACAAAATAAAAACAGAAAAAAAAGGTAAATGGACCTTCTGGTGTATACCTGAAAAATACATAAAAATAAACATAAAATAAAAAAAGCAAAGTAAAATAAAAAAATAAAAACAGAAAAAAAAAGTAAATGGATCTTCTGGTGTACATCTGAAAAATATATAAACATAAAATAAATGGAATAAAAAATCAGCTTTAGCTGGAAGTCTAAAGCTAAGAGCTGGAGGAGCAGGATGATGGTGGATCCATGACCACCTGTCTCTCTGGGCCCAAGGAAGTTCCAGATTCTCCTCTAGGCCACACCTTGAGGACAAACACAACCCAAAGAAGCCTCCCACATTCCCTTGCATACCAGCAGATTATACCCAAAACTCATCCCATTGCTAGATATCTACAAAACTGATTTTTTTCAAGACAGAGTCTCACTCTGTTGCCCAGGCTGGAGTGCAGTGGTGCAATCTTGGCTCACTGCAGCCTCTGCCTCCTCGGTTCAAGCAATTCTCCTGCCTCACCCTCCAAAGTAGCTGGGGTTATAGGCATGCACCACCACCCCTGGCTAATTTTTGTATTTTTAGCCGAGTAGGGGTTTCACCATGTTGGCCAGGCTGGTCTTGAACTCCTGACCTCAAGTGATCTGCCGGCCTTGGGCTCCCAAAGTGCTAGGATTACAGACGTGAGCCACCAGGCCCAGCTGCTTCAACCACTTTGGATATGGTTTGCTGGTACTGTTAGCTAATGAGCACTGTTAACTAGTAGTTATTACTGTTCATCCTGTGCCTGGATCCCAGGCCATGGATGGCTCTGTAGGTTTAATCCTTCCTCAGACTGAGGCTCAGGTAAAGATATTGTGGCTTTAAACCAGGTTGGACTCTCTTGATGTGGCACACACAGTTCTAATGCCAGCACAGAATGGAAAACAAACGAGAATTTGGAAGATGGCAGCTATTTCAATCACTCCGTCTCACCCCTGCAGTATGCAGGCTCGTTCCCTGGCCAAGAGCTGTCCCCAGAATAGCAGCCTGGCCAGTGCCATGGGCATTTATGAACTTCATCTAGTCCGGAACTACTGTAGGCAGCCCGCGGCCCAGGCCAAAGGGATGTCTCAGCAGGGTATGTGCCATGGGAGGACTGCAAGTATAACAGAGAAGAGAGAAGAAAAGACATCACAAAGCTGTGGGTGCTAGGACTGAGGTAAATAAGAGGCTGCATTCCTCTTCCATCTTTCAGAATGGCCAGGAAGAGATGGCTTGGGCGAGTCATGGATTTACCTAAGTTGTCAGTGACTTCACTGAAAACCATCCATTTACCCTTCCGTTCAGCAGGATGACCTACCTCTGGCTTCTTTGGCTCTTGTTTTTTCACACATAAAGAGGCAAGAGACAGCTGCTGCACGTGCATCATCATTTCTGTGGAGAAGACAGAGGGTTGTGCCAAAGGTTTCCACTCCTCACTTACCCAGCACAGCCCCTTCCTGGGCTGCAGTACTAAAAACTCACTCCGCTAGCCCACTGAATCACTCCAGCCTTGCCTGCCACCTTCTGGCTACACATCCCCTCTGCAACTCCTGACGGCGGAGGTAAGGACTAGGTCCTCTGTCCCTGGAATAGCACCTGAGCTGGCGTCATGCTCTTTTGCAGCTTTGCATACAACTCATTTTGAACAGAAGGTGCCTCATGGCTTGCTAAGGACTTTAAGGCACCACTGAAGAGCTGCAGCTGTAGGGGAGGCCATGCTGTGGGAACTACTCAGCTGTACCCTCAGGTGAAAGAACAGGAAGGGCTAAACATGCTGGCACTTCTCTAACAGAGATCAAGTTGGAAATGGCTGATGTTTCAGTGAGATGAAGCCACATCCCAGGCCAGGAAATTCTCCTGTATGGCCTTGAGACTCCCCTGGAAGATCTTGGTACCAAAGGGTGGGGCAGCACCCCAATCAGCACCTATGGGGTGTCCCACCAGGACCAATCCCCTAAAATGGATCAGAGAAAACTAGACTCAGAGTGAAGCTGGGTATGAGATCACTCACTGCCAGCTGGTTCAAGACAACTATTCCAGTGTAAACAGGCTGCAAAAAGGTTGTTTACAGTATGAGAAAAGAAGGAGCACAAAATTTACAGCTGAGTCAAACTGAGAGAGATGGGCTACAATACACACTCTGGTGAGAGTGTGGACTCTGGTGAGACAATTTGCCTAATCCCTCTGAGGCTCAATTTCCTCATCTGTATAATGGAGACAGGACTGCAGTGAGGATTAAATGAGGTAATTCCTAGCACAGAGTCAATAACTGTTAAGTGGTCATGAATATTAAGATCATTTCTGCACTTGTAAATCGGGATCATCATGCTAGCTGGGGAGAGCTGCAGCAGGTGACATTAAACGGCATGTTCTAGGGACCTCCTGCGGGATGCCGAGGCCACAGCCTGCCCTCCTCGTCCTCACTGCTTTCCCCCTTCCCCACTTCCTCTCACCTTTGTGGATCAACATGGCAGCTGAGTACTTCTGGCTTCCGGTGACCAGAAGCTCACACAACCACGATCCCTCTAAAAGCTGATACTCCTGGTCAAAGTCACCAACTGTCCCCCCCACAGAAGCACAGCACAGAAAGGGTACCATCCACGTGCAGAATCCTCACTCCCCAAGAGCGGGCATTGGTCAGGAGGCTGCTGCTGCTCCCACTGCCTCCTCTACTGCTGCTCCCCTGAAATTACAACATAAGAGTCAGGTAGGAGCAGAGACTCCCCAAGGCCAGAATGTGAAGGGGACAGACAGAAATTGCTTTTGGGAGCCCTGGGTTATCCATGGGAGGGACTGGGGGAAGGCAGGCAGGGGAGAGAGTACAGTGCCCAGAGGGTCCATCCCACCCCCCAGGAAGACACCCTGTCCTCCATATGGCCACATCGGGAAGGAAGGACCGCTGGTATGCCTATACATTCTGCTCTGGCCACCTTGTGCCAGGAAGGAACATATGCTTCTGAGAGAGCTGTTTGTTGGGAAGACCTCTGTGAGGAAAGCTCTCAGCACACGGTAAATACCCAACAAACACAGTGACCACCATCCTCAATGAGCAGGAAACTATGCTGGCTGCCGATCTTCCCCCTCCTCTGACTCAGTCCAGCAGCACCATCTCCCCCATCACAGCCATGGATCCCTCCTGATGTCACTAGCATCACTCTTCTTATAAGATTACCTGTACTCCTCCTCCTGCCACTAAACTTTAACAGCCCTGAATTTTTACACAAGGAATAAAGAGTTACTTGTAAAAGAAGTCTGGCTTCTGTACCGAGCAGCCCTGTCCCACCGCATCCCACATCCCCAAAGTTCTCTTGGTAGGCTCTGCAGCTGGAGTCGGCTCTGGCTTCAACACTTACTCCCTAGGTGACTGGTTAAGTAACTTCTCAGCCCTCCACTCCCTGATGTATAAGAAGGAAATAATGACAATACTACATATCACATAGTGTGCATCTTGTGTACCCACAAAAGAAACTGGGAAGAGGTGAAATCCTTCCCTGTGCTGGAGACCACCTGCTCTGTCCCGTCTTGCCCAGCTCACCTGGTTTCTGATGGCCTTCTGCAGCAGCTCCTTCCCTCTGCTCAGAGGCACCTGATGGGGAGAGAACAGTGAGGCCTGCTGTGAGGCCACCTGTGCACTGACAGATGTTTACACAGGAGCTGGTACGGTTTTATGACTCGGGAGTTATGTCCCTTGGAAAGCTGGGAGCAGGGACAACTGAGGATTGGTAGAAATGAGAGCCTAGAAAATGTTTAGGAGGTAAAGATAAAGCTGCAAGGAAGCTTAGGTCACCCTGAGGTGGCAGCCTGAACCTGATGGAGAGAAAGGCACTCTGCATTCACTGAGGTCAAACTGTTACAAATGTCCTAAGACTTCTCTTTAAAAGTCTGCACCCCGGCCGGGCGCGGTGGCTCAAGCCTGTAATCCCCAGCACTTTGGGAGGCCGAGGCGGGTGGATCACGAGGTCAAGAGATCGAGACCATCCCGGTCAACATAGTGAAACCCCGTCTCTACTAAAAATACAAAAAATTAGCTGGGCATGGTGGCACGTGCCTGTAATCCCAGCTACTCAGGAGGCTGAGGCAGGAGAATTGCCTGAACCCAGGAGGCGGAGGTTGCGGTGAGCCGAGATCGTGCCATTGCACTCCAGCCTGGGTAACAAGAGCGAAACTCTGTCTCAAAAAAAAAAAAAAAAAAAAAAAAAAAGTCTGCACCCTCTAGCAGATAATGAAGGCAAATGTTTCACTTTAGAAGATTTTTTGCTCGTAGGAAGTCCTGTCATCACAATGCCAACAGTGTATGTTCATGGACACTTAATTAATATATTTATATATATTTATTTATTTATCTTTTGAAACGGAGTCTTATTCTGTTGCCAGGCTGGAGTACAGTGGTGCGATCTCGGCTCACTGCAACCTCTGCCTCCCAGATTCAAGCAATTCTCCTGCCTCAGCCTCCTGAGTAACTGGGACTATAGGTGCATGCCACCACACCCAGCTAATTTTTTTTTTTTTGTATTTTGAATAGAGATGTGGTTTCACAATGTTGGCCAGGCTGGTCTCGAACTCGCATCCTCAGGTGATCTACCTGTCTCAGCCTCCCAAAGTGCTGAGATTAAAGGTGTGAGCCACCACACCTGGCCAATTTCTGTATTTTTATAGGGATGGGGTTTTACCGTGTTGGCCAGGATAGTCTTGATCTCTTGACCTTGTGATCCGCCCACCTTGGGCTTTCAAAGTGTTGCGATTACAGGCATGAGCCACTGCGTCTAGCCCATGGACATTTTAATATTAGCACAAATTAGACAAAAATAAGAATGTAAGCCTAGAGGGGAAAAATCATATTGCATTCTAAATCAAAGACGTAACACATATATTGTCCAAACTTGGCCCTTCATACCTGCAAGCAAGGAAGAAGGGAATGGCTGCCTACTCAGGGTATGCCTGCCCAAGCCCAGACCAATCCCAACACGTCTTTTCTGGTTTATAGAGGACTCTCCTCTGGTCTCTGAACCTCTGACTTTGAAGTCCCATAAAAACTGACATGCAGCATAAAAGGGTGCCATGGGGGATAGTATGTTGCTGAGGTGTTTAGATTCAGACTTATGATAAAATATTCTCAGTCTCTCAATTCAAATGAGAGATTAAATTAAGCCAGATGAAACTAAAACCAGAGAGTGACTTAAAAGGCTCACCAAAGCCTACTTTCTTTGTTTACACAGCATAACTTTCCTACTCCATGAGGTTCTTACCGAGTCAATGGGTTTCTGTGCAGGCCTGGTGTGGCTGCCTTTTGGATCAACCATGGCCGATGTTTCCACTCTGACCTCGCTGGGGCTAGGGCTAGGGCAGCCTCTATGGCTTGACCCACTGCTCTCCACCTTTGCTTCTCTGCGGCTGGACACGATGTAACTTACTTCTTTGCTCAGAAAACCCTCAATTACCTGAAACCAGATCACAGAAGTGGTTGAAAACCAAAAAGCAAATGCAGAATTGTCAATAATAGAGAGGGCTGGAGAAGGAAATTTTGGCTGCCAGGAGTTCCAGAATCAATGTCTTTAAATAGACTAAATGCAGTTCCGTACCAAGTTCCCAAGAAAACATCATCCTGAAATATAATCGGGTTTACATATATACAATACAGGGTTTGTCTCCAGGACTGCTGTCCCCGACCCAGTGGCAGAAGGCCGCAGGCTTTGATTCTATGAGCAGTTTGAGTTTGCATGCAGCAAGAACACATTGAAAGAACTGGACAGGATTAAGAGGAGCTTGGGTAAGCCATAAGTTCTTTGTATAAGATACACTGGGGGCCAGGTGTGGTGGCTTATGACTGTAATCCTAGCACTATAGAAGGCTGAGATGGGAGGATCACTTGAGGTCGGGAGTTCAAGACCTGCCTGGACAACACAGCAAAATCCGGTCTCTAAAAAATTTTTTTCAAAAAATTAGCTGGGTGTGGTTACATGTACCTATAGTCCTAGCTACTTGGGAGGCTGAGGCGGGAGGGTCACTCGAGCCCTGTAGTTCAGTGACACAGTGAGCTATGATTGTACCACTACACTGTAGCCTGGGGAGTGAAATTCTGTCTCTCTACTCTAAAAAAAGAAAAAAAAACAAAGTTAAAATGCCTTATTTTATGTTATATACACTTTACCACAATTTAAAAAAATATTTAAAGTTATGAATTGAAGGATTATGTCTACCTTTTTTTTTTTTTGAGACAAGGTCTCCCAGGCTGTAGTGCAGTGGCATGATCTCAGCTCAGTACAACCTCCGCCACCTGGGTTCAAGCAATTGTCCTGCCTTAGCCTCCCGAGTAGCTGGGATTCCAGGCATCTTATGCTACCATGCCCAGCTAATTTTTTTTTTTTTTTTTTGAAGATGGAGTTTTGCTCTGTTGCCCAGGCTGGAGTATAGTGGCGTGATCTCCGCTCACTGCAACCTCCGCCTCTTGGGTTCACGCAGTTCTCTGCCTCAGCCTCCCGAGTAGCTGAGATTACAGGCGCACACCACACTTGGCTAATTTTTGTATTTTTAGTAGAGATGGGGTTTCACCATGTTGGCCAGGCTGGTCTTGAACTCCTGACCTGGTGATCCACCCACCTTGGCCTCCCAAAGTGCTGAGATTACAGGCGTGAGCTACCGCGCCTGGCTTAATTTTGTATTTTTAGTAGAGATAGGGTTTCACTATGTTGGTCAGGCTGGTCTTGAACTCCTGACCTTAGGTGATCCACCCACCTCTGCCTCCCAAATAGCTGGGATTACAGGCATGAGCTACCATGCCCAGCAGCTAATTTTTTAATTTGATTTTTTGTAGAGATGAGGTCTTACTATGTTGCCCAGGCTAGTGTTAAACTCCTGGACTCAAGCAATCCTCCCACCATAGCCTCCCAAAATCACAGGTGTGAGATACCACAACCAGCCAATAAGTTTCTTTCTTTTTTTTCTTTTGAGACAGGGTCATGCTATGTCACCTAGGCTGGAGTTCAGTGGCACAATCTTTGCTTACCGAAACCTCCACCTCCCAGGGCTCAAATGATTCTCATGCCTCAGCCTACTGAGGAACCAGGACTATAGGCATGATACTGTACCAGGTGCCACTGTACCTGACTAATTTTCGTATTTTTAGTAGAGACGGGGTTTTGCCATGTTGGCTAGGGTAATCTAAACTCCTGGGCTCAAGTGATCCACCCGCCTCAGCCTCCCAAAGTGCTGGGATTACAGGTGTGATCCACTGCACCCAGCCTTTTTTTGAGACAAGGTCTCACTCTGTTGCCCAGGCTGGAGTGCAGTGGTACATGATCTTGACTTCAGCTCACTGTAACCTCTGCCTCTTGGGCTCCAGTGATCCTCTTACCTATGTCCCCCAACTACAGTCACGCACCATCACACCTCTTAATTTTTTGTATGTTTTGTAGAAACGGGCTCTCGCCATGTTGCCAGGCTGATCTTGAACTCCTGGACTCAAGTGATCCATCCTCCTCAGGCTCCCAAATTGCTGTGATTACAGGCATGAGCCACTGTGCCCAACCTTTTCCAATTAGGAAAAATACTTGTTTTTATTTTAAAAATGTTATTTATTTATTTATTTATTATCATTATTATTTTTTACGACAGAGTCTCGCTCTGTCTCCCAGGCTGGAGTGCAGTGGAGCAATCTCTGCTCACTGCAACCACCACCTCCTAGGTTCAGGTGATCCTCCTGCCTCAGCCTCCTGAGCAGCTGGAACTGTAGGCACCTGCCACGATGCCCAGCTAATTTTTGTATTTTCACTAGAGACAGGGTTTTGCCATTTAGGCCAAGGTCATCTCCAACTCCTGACCTTAAGTGATCCACCTGCCTTGGCCTCCCAACATGCTGGGATTACAGGTGGGAGTCACTCCGCCTGGCCAAAACAATGGTTTCTATTTAAAATTGCCTTAGGAAATGTAGTGAGACCATTGAAAATACCTGGAAACTGCCAGGCGCCGTGGCTCACACATGTAATCCCAGCACTTTGGGAGGCTGAGGCAGGTGGATCACGAGGTCAGGAGTTCGAGATCAGCCTGGCCAACATGGTGAAACCCCGTCTCTACTAAAAATACAAAAATTATCCAGGCATGGTGGTGTGAGCCTGTACTCCCAGCTACTTGGGAGGCTGAGGCAGGAGAATTGCTTGAACCCAAGAGGCAGAGGTTGCAGTGAGTCAAGATCGTGCCACTGCACTCCAGCCTGGGTGACAGAGCAAGACTCCATCTTGAAAAAAAAAAAAAAAAAAAAAAAAAGAACATCTCGAAAAAAAGAAAAAGAAAAAACCTGGAAACCACAGATATAATCCCTATCCAACTCCTGCTCTACAACCTGCAAAGGCACATGGTATCACAGAAGAGCAGGTTACCTACCCCGCCCAGCTGCTGAATGGCCCCTGTCAAAAACTGGAGATTCTTGCCAGCAGGCAGATCCAAGTAAAAGGACTTTCCGGAAAAGGGATGCCTCCTGGCACCTGGTGAGTTCTTCTGGCATTTTCCCAGATACCTGGAAACTCCTAGCTGAGCCCCTAGAAAACAACAAAGAGGAGCAAAGTAAGAGGCTTGAAAAGAGAGTCCTGAGGCCAGGTAGCCTTCACTGACAGCTCAGTCTATGTGCTATGATAGCGCAGACTAGGTCCTGGGCACACACTGACAGCTGTAAAGTCAATGCCCTTACCCTCATGAAGTTCAAATGTAAAGAAACTGGAACCTCCAAACAAGATAATAAGCAAAAAAGGCCTGCTGACTTCTTCACGTCTTCCTTAGAATCTAAATCTAGGGAAGCCACGTAAGTAAAAAGGAATTAGATCCCCAAACCAGACATTAGGGGGCTTCGATGAATAGCAAGCTAGGGAAGAAAGGGCCCAGATTCACGGTGGGGGGGGGGGCGGGGGGCGCCAGGCAGGAGGATGCTTTCTAGCTGTGCTGAGTGTCACCGCCTGCCCTGTTGCCACTGCCAAGTAAGCAGCCCAGCCCTAACCAAAGGCAGCAGGGTAACATCAGGGCAGTGTTGCAGCCTAGCTTAGGGTGGATATGCATGTGTATTCAAGACAGGTAAGAGGGCAAGGGGACAGTGAACTTGTTGGCCCTGAATAGGCTTACTTCCAGGCCTACTTCCTGACTTCTCCATTTGGTAACTTAGGTAATTATAATTCAAAAAGACAGCTCTTGTAAAAAAACAGGTCAGAGAGAGAGGGGGCGGGGAGAGAGAGAGGGAGGGGGGAGAGAGAGAGAGAGAGAGAGAGAGAGAGAGAGTGTGTGTGTGTGTGTGTGTGTGTGTGTGTTGGAGGTAACAGAATGCTGATGCAAACGGACAGTGAATGAGCCCATATTCCAGGGACTCTGCATCATAGTGGGGTCGTTTCCTTTCTGTGCAGCCTCCAATCCCTAAACTAAATGGAGTGACACACGATGGGGCATAAGCCTTCTTCCTTCTAGGAGCACATTACCAATCAGAGTGGCTAATGTCCCAAGGGAACATTTGTGTATACAAAAACATGAGGCAACTGAAGAAAACAAGTACTACCAAATAAACTTTCTCTGGTATAGACTATCTGTCATACTAATAAGCCAGATAGGAAAAAGAAAAACCTTTAAAGTACAATACGTATCCTCAAAAAGGCTAGGGAGGATACTGAAACATAAAGCAGAACAGCAGTTAAAGAAAAGAACTAGGCTGAATGTGGTTGGCTCACACCAGTCATCCCAGCACTTTGGGAGGCTAAGGCGGATGGATCACGAGGTCAGGAGATCAAGACCAGCCTGGCCAACACAGTGAAACCCTGTCTCTGCTAAAAACACAAAAATTAGCTGGGTATGGTGGCACATGCCTGTAATCCCAGCTAATCGGAAGCTGAGGCAGGAGAATTGCTTGAACCAGGGAGTCGAAGGTTGCAGTGAGCCCAGATTGCACTCCGGCCTGGGTGAGAGTGACAGAGTAAAACTCTGTCTCAAAAAAAAAAAAGAATTAGGCTGGGAATGATGGCTCATACCTGTTATTGCAGCACTTTTGGAAGCTGAGGTGGGTGGATCACTTGAATCCAGGAGTTTGAGATCAGCCTGGCCAACATGGCAAAATCCTGTCTCTACTAAAAATAGAAAAATTAGCTGGGCATGGTGGTGCACGCCTGTAATCCCAGCTACTTGGGTGGCTGAGGCAAGAGAATTGCTTGATGCCAGGAGGCAGAGGTTTCAGTGAGCTGAGATCATGCCACTGCACTCCAGTCTGGGTGACAGAGGGAGACTCTGTCTCAAAAAAACAAAATAAGAATTAGTTGGAGATAATGAAAATGAAAAACAATATTTGGCTGGGCATGGTGTTTCACACCTGTAATCCCAGCACTTTGGGAGGCCGAAGCGGGTGGATTATTTGAGATCAGGACTTTGAGACCAGCCTGGCCAAAAGGTGAAACCCTGTCTGTACTAAAAATACAAAAAATAGGCCAGGCACAAGTGGCTCATGCCTGGAATCCCAGCACTTTGGGAGGCCGAGGCGGGCAGATCACTGGAAGTCAGGAGTCCAAAACCAGCCTGGCCAACATGGTGAAACCCCATCTCTACTTAAAATACAAAAAATTAGCTAGGCGTGGTGGCAGGCACCTGTAATCCCAGCTACTCACGAGGCTGAGGCAGGAGAATTGCTTGAACTTGGGAGGCAGAAGTTGCGGTGAGACGAGATTGCACCATTGAACTCCTGCCTCGGGGACAGAGCAAGACTCCATCTCAAAATAAATAAATAAATAAATAAATAAAATTAAAAAAAAAAAAAAAAACTGGGCAGGTGGCTCACACCTGTAATCCCAGCTACTCAGGAGGCTGAGGCAGAGAATTGCTTGAATCCAGGAGAAGGAGGTTGCAATGAGTTGGGATCACGCTACTGCACTCAAGCCTGGGAGACAAAGCAAAATTGTCTTAAAAAAAAAGAAGAAAAAAACAAGAAAAAAAGCCAGATAATAGCAGTGTTGGTGAGTATATGAGAAACTGGAACCCTCATATACTTCTGGAGGGAAGTATAAAATGGTGCTGTCACATTGGAAAACCATATGCCGGTTTCTTAAAAGGTTAAACACAGAACTACCATGTGACCCAGCAATTTTACTCCCAGGTATCCCCTTGAGAAATGAAAACACATCGACATGAAAATGTGTAAATGAATGCTTACAGCAATATTAATCATATAGCCAAAAAGCGGAGTCTTTCCCATCTTGCAAGATGATGGGTGAAAAGAGTTGAGAAGACAGACACTAAAGAGAAGAAACCCAAAGCCAAGAAGGCTGATGCTGGTGGCAAGGTGAAAAAGGGTAACCTCAAGGCTAAAAAGCCAAAGAAGGGGAAGCCCATTGCAGCTGAAATCCTGTCCTTGTGAGAGGAATTGCAGATACTCCCAGTCTGCTAAGTATTCCAGAAAGGCCATGTACAGGAGGAAGTAATCAGCTGCTAAATTCAAGGGTGAAAAGAAAAGAAGGTTCTTAAAACTGTTACAAAACCAGTTGGTGTTGACAAGAACAGTGGTATCAGGGTGTTAAACTTCATAAAATGCCCAGGTATTATCCTACTGAAGATGTGCCTCAAAAGCTGTTGAGCCATGGCAAAAACTGACCCTTCAGTCAGCATGCAAGAAAACGGAGCCAGCATTACCTCCAGGACCATTCTGATCATCCTCACTGGGAGCCATAGAGGCGAGAGGGTGGTTTTCCTGAAGCAGCTGGCTAGTGGCTTTTTTTTTTTTTTGAGATGGAGCTTCGCTCTTGTTGTCCAGGCTGGAGTGCAATGGAGTGATACTGGCTCACTGCAACCTCTGCCTCCTGGGTTTAAGCAATTCTCCTGCCTCAGCCTCCTAAGTAACTGGGATTACAGGCATGTGCCACCATACCCTGCTTATTTTGTATTTTTAGTAGAGACAGGGTTTCTCCATGTTGGTCAGGCTGGTCTCGAATTCCTGACCTCAGGTGATCTGCCCACCTCAGCCTCCCAAAGTGCTGGGATTACAGGCGTGAGCCACCACACCCAGCCACTAGTGGCTTATTACTCAGGAGAGGTCCTCAATCAAGTTCCTCTACAACGAACACATCAGAAATCTGTTATTGCCACCTCAAGCAAAATTGATAGCAGCAATGTAAAAATTGCAAAACATCTTACCGGTGCTTACTTTAAGAAGTTGCATCTTTGGCTAGAGTCACAGAGGGAGCAAAAAGAAAAAAAGAAAGAAGTTGCAGAAGGCTAGACAACAGGAAGGTGAGACTTTGACACAGAAAAAGAGAAACAGATTACAGAGCAGTGCAAGATTTTCTCAGAAAGCTGTGGACTCACACGTTTTACAAAAAAAATCAAAGCTATTTCTCAGCTCCAGGGCTACCTGTGATCTGTGTTTGCCTTGACAAATGGAATTTATCCTCACAAATTGGTGTTCTTAAGAACCTAATAACTGATAACATTTTGTGTCATTTTTAAAAAAAGTGGAAACTCGTATGTCCATGTGATGAAAGGATAAACAAAATGTGGTACATCTATATAATGGAATACTACTCAACAATGAAAAGGAAAGATGTACTGATACATGGCACCACATGGATGAATCATGAAAGCATCATGCTAAATGAAAGAAATCAGTCACAAATGTACGACTCTTATATGAAATGTCCAGAAAAAGCAAGTTACTTTCTGTCTCTAAACAGAAAGTAGATTAGTGGATGACTAGGGCTGGAGAGTCAGGAGAAAATTGGGAGTGGCTGCTAATGAATATTATTTTTTGGAGTAAGAAAAGTGTTGTAAAATTGACTGTGGTAATGGTTGCACAATTCTGTGAACACACTAAAAGCCACTGAATTGTGCACTTTATATGAGTGAATTGTGTGGTGTGTGAACTATAACTCAATAAAGCTGTTAAGAAAAAGAAGGCCGGGTGCGGTGGCTCACGCCTGTAATCCCAGCACTTTGGGAGGCCAACGCGGGTGGATCACGAGGTCAAGAGATTGAGACCATCCTGTCAACATGGTGAAACCCCATCTCTACTAAAAATACAAAAAATTAGCTGGGCATGGTGGTGCGTGCCTGTAATCCTAGCTACTCAGGAGGCTGAGGCAGGAGAATTGCCTGAACCCAGGAGGCAGAGGCTGCGGTGAGCTGAGATCGCGCCATTGCACTCCAGCCTGGGTAACAAGAGCGAAACTCCGTCTCTAAAAAAAAAAAAAAAAAAAAAAAAAGAAAAAGATTTATTTATTTTGAGACAGAGTCTCACTCTGTTGCCCAGGCTGGAATGCAGTGGTGTGATCTTGGCTCACTGAAACCTCTGCCTCCTGGGTTCAAGTGTTTCTCCTGTCTCAGCCTTCTGAGTATCTGGGATTACAGGTGCCTGCCACCACATCTGGCTCATTTTTTTTGTATTTTTAGTAGAGACGGGGTTTCACCGTATTGGCCAGGCTGGTCTCGACTCCTGATCTCAAATAATCTGCCCACTTTGGCCTCCCAAAGTTCTGGGATTACAGGTGTGAGCCACCACACCCTGCCTGGATTTTCCTAATTGTACTAT